TATAAAGGTTGTTGATTTTGAAACCAACCTTTAAAATGATCAGTAAATTTTCCAAAAAATTCCATTTTTTTTTTTTTTTTTTTTTTTTTGGTTTCTGCAAACAGTGTATTTTTTAGTGGTTGTGTTTATGTGTTTTATGGTCACAGTCAGTAAAAAAAAATTATGGCAACTTTAAAACCGGAACAATTACTCTCCGGTAAATGTGTATGATAGTATCTAAACTTGGATTTGATACATTTTCAAGTTTAATAAATGTTTGAAAATGCTGATAAAAATGATTTGATTGATTGACACTAAGATAATTTCATTTATAATTAAATCATTATACCATGGTCTTTGAAATGATTGGATTATAATAACTCATTTTCTTTTTCTATTTTTTCTTGTGTTTACATTCTGTCAAAGCTTTATGAATGAATAGAATTCTGTTGGAGTATTCTGCAGGTGTCAAATCGAATGAAAACGGTGATTTTTTTTCTCGAAAAATTGTTGGTCGTTGTCCAAAACATTCCTCTTTATTATCGATTTTTTGCTTCGTATCAAAAATCAATGTAAAGATATTAAAATCACTAATTGTAAGATTTAAAAGGATAATTTTTCACAAATCACATAGAATGAATAAAAATTAGAAGATCCGGTAGATTAATTTATTACTATCAGTAACGGTAGGAGATCTATGGAGAATTTTTCAATAAAAAGAAACATCAATATTTCGAACACTATTTTGGATAAACAGACAACAAACGATGAACAATATAAAAACTCGAGCTTGAGCGCCTGCCAAAGTATCCAAATTTTTATTCCCCTGATCGCCCCACGATCTTGCCTGTCTGCCTGCCTACTTGCTTGCTTGTTTGTCTGTTTCTTTCTCTTATGATACAGTCATTCTATGACTTATAAATTCCAGAGAAAACTTAGTTACTTGAATTTGTTCGTAAGTCGAAATTTCACTATATTAATAAATATTTTTATTTTCGAAAGTTTATAATGAAATTTATCAATTTCCCGAATAACTCGATAAAATTTTTGACAAATGTTTATTTTTTTTTTTTTGAATTTTGTTTAGAAATAATAAATCCATAAAAATCGGAAACTTATGAATTGATCTTTATGCACGAAGGCAGTATCTGAGTATCTTTTCGAAATCTAAATTAGCTAAAAAAATTAATCGAATTTTAAATTTCGAAAAAACTCGAATGTTCGTAAATCGGGGAATGACTGTATACTTTTTTCTCCCTTTAAATTACGTGTTACATTCCTTGCCATTACATTGGATTTCCATTCCAACTATATCCAAATTTACCTCGTCTATGAATTAGATCAAGGTATCCTTTTTTTTATTTCAGCAATTCACACCCTGGATTTTAAGCTCAACTTTTCATTTCATAAATTCTATAACACTTTCTTTTCTGTCAGTGTATGAAAAAATAAATCATATTTACACATATAGAAAACTGTGAATAAACGGTAATTTAATTCGAATTTTATTCAATTAAAAAGTATTATTTTTTGTTTATGGATTCATCCGGTTTTCTCCATTTGGAAAACTTTGTTTTACACATTCTCAATGAATCCCTCTGAAGTGGTGGATCCATTATGGGCAATTTCTTCTTTATTACGGGTCTATGATTAGAATCTTTTTTTGGTTCATTTTTTCGATCGGACGACTGTTTGATTTGTTTTATGGGATGATTTTTTTTGTTCATCAATTTTCCTTGCTCATCATCATTTGATTTACTTAAAAAACTTATAGAATGATTTTTATCGACAGATGAAGACAATACAGATGCATCATCCGAAAAGATATATGATGAGATATCATTAAACATTCGAGATTCTGGTGCATCATCGAAACCACTTAAAGGACTATCGATTTGTGATTCATATTTCGATGTTGAATAAGAGGATATAATTGATTCTGAGTCAAGTGCCGATGAATATTTGCCGTCTAATATAGAATCCATTTCGATCTTTTCAGCCATTTTTTTCTCAATTTCTTTCACTTTTGTTTTCTCTACTTTAGATTTTCGTTCGTCAATTAATGGCAAAGATTTCTCCTCTATTTCAATTTTAGGAATAAATTGAGGTGGAATTTCAATTTTAGGAATAAATTGAGGTGGAATTTCAATCATTTTTTTTGAAGTCACTCCAATGGGTGGAATTTCAGTCACTTTTTTAAGAATCCTTCCACGAGGTTGAATTTTTGGAGATTTTCGTTTCTCTTAATATTTCATATTTTAATATATTAATTTGATGTCAAATATGAATATGAATTAAACTTACTTTTGCGGCAAACATTTCCCATTATGCCTATTCGATTTTCTTTTCTCACGCTCAACTATTTAAATAAGCTATTTAGAACATTTTATATCAGCTATCAAATAATTAAACAAAAATATTCAAATCAGATTAGGCGAAGGAAATAGTTTATTTATTTATTTTTGTTGTTTAAATACAATTAAAATATATCAAAGTATTAAAAAAGGAAATTTCTTTAGTTTCCTTTTGACAATAGTGGCGTTTGGTTGATGAAATGGCGTAATAATGTTGATGAATCGATAAGAAAAAAAGAAACAAAATACAAAGGAAAAAATAAAAGGAATCGGATGTTCTAAGAGAATTTTTCTTCGAATAATCATATTGATTAGCGATGGCAATGCTGATAATTTTTGTTAGAATTCATTTTTTATTGATTTTTTGTAACCTTTTTGGTGGCCTCCATCGCAATGCCGATACATCTACATTCAAACGTGGTTTTTTAAATTGTTCGCTTTTAAGATGTTCTTCAACTAGTTTGGGAGTTACACATATAACATGTTGACCTTTCCAATATTTAACTAGATTCAATGTCTGCAATGTTGTAATTATGTCCGTACTTGTGATTGATGTCATATGTGATAAGTCACGAATCGTTATGTTTGTCTTGAAATCACGCAAAATCTCCAACAAAACCCATGACCAATAACTGCGATAGCTTAATTTTCCCAAATCGGATAGTGGTTTTTCTGGAGAACCAAGTACCATTTCTATTTTGGATAATTCGTAACTGAAAGCAATCAAAAATCTTCCATAGCCTTTGCGTTGAAATGGTGGTAAAGTTAATATGCAAGCAAGATTGTTGCCTTCAGCAGATTCTTTTTCTTTTGAAAAATATCTGTACACGAATCGATTTATTAATCATTAGAAATAGAGAGATTGTTTGAAAAAACTTACCCAACTATATGTGCACCCTCCTGATCCACTTCGGTCAGAACGTAAAATAAAAATGGCTCGACATCGAAAAACAAAGTCTTATGATCGAGAAACAATTTGGCCAACAAACACAAATTTTGACAATAAATTTTTGATTTTCCATATCCATCAACTTCATATACTGAAATTGTTCCTTTACGGTAAATTTCGATTCCGGGTGGCTGTCGATCACGGCATTCTAATTGATGTTTACGAAACGATTCTTCAAATCGCATATACTTAAGACAGAATTCACAGATCCATAACTTTGATTGCTTTCCATATTCTTCTGGATATGGTGAAAAATACCATGCATCGATTTCATACCGACCAAATTGTATTCGATCAATATATTTAACTTTGGTAATCTCTTCATGTTCACGTTCCAGTGCAGCCGTTGTAGGATCCATTTCAGCATACGTTTTCTGAACATGATTAATTTCATCATGTTTACGTTTTTGATTCCTCGTTAATTTTTTCACATTCGGATCTGAAACTGAAACATCGGCAAACGAATCTTTTGCTTCGTTATTATTTACTACACATTTTTGATTGAAATTAATTGCCGATCGCGGTACCCATTCATCCAAACGTCGATTGAAACCATCATAATGGACATAAAATTCATAATCAAAATTTGGATCATCATCCATAACAACTTGGACATTGTTGTCACTTGTATTGCAGGCATATTTTTTTCTTGTATAATGGTCACGTTTACGGATTTCGATTATTTGCGCTGAATGCCAAGCATCATCGGTTTTCGATTTAATCATAAAATATTCGCCGATTTGTGGCAAAATGTCTGATGAGTTTTGATTGGTCGTTGTTGATGTATCTTCATCTTCGGTATCATTTCGAGATGATGATGTTGTCTGTGAAGGTGAAGGTGTCGGCGTAATAGTATTATTATGACTGTCACTGATAGGATTTTTATTACTGCTTGACCGTTTATTAATTGTTCCATTTGTTGATGATGATAATGATTTTGTCGCCGAATGGCCATTATTTGATGATGAGGTTAGGGCAACCATTTCGGATTTTTTGCTATTAATATTGTCGTTATTATTATTACCATTTGTTTTAATATTAGATTCATCATTCTTTGTTTTGCTCGATGATGATATATTTTGATTATCAGAACTGCTATCTTTGAAATTTTTGGCGCCTGTCGTCGTCGTTGACGAATTTGACCTGACCATTTAAAAATTTCGAACACATTCACATAAAGACAAAATCTTGACAGATCAAATGTCTATTTTGAAAAAAACAATCACATAAAATCGATCACAGAATTGTAAATGATACTCACAAAAAGTAAGATAATTTGTTTGAATGAAATTACATACAATTTTATAGGGGCTTTTTTTCAACACTTTCAAACAAATCTTGTTTTTTTCTACTGTTGAAATGAGTTCTTAAAATTTGACGAAAGATGAAATTCCAAAATTAATTATGTCAAAATTGAGACGGAGTGAATGAAAGAAAAAATCCTTGCCGCAACACATACACAAAAAGGGCAGACGCACAATTATATGAGGAATATTGAGTGATTATTATGATGGAGCCACACTATCATCAAATAAAGGCATTATTGCAGCAAAACTTTCCAACACCATATTATAACGCTCTGTGATGGACGTATAAAATCGATTGCCTTCCTACAATACTATCGTCCACAGATGTCGCTCAAAGAGATTAATTTAAATGACAACCAATTAAATTATAATTTTAGCAGGAAGTATTATTTAGAATTAAAACTGTTTTTCCAAATATTTTTTGCATCAAATCAGGAATTTCATCATGATTCACTGAATCATATAAGAATATTGAATCGAAAATTCATAAAATTCCTGACACAGAATGATTATTCAGTATCACCATGACAACCATAAAATAGAATCAATATTTCAAACAAAAATTTTTATATTCTTCAGCACTTTTCTTTTTTTTTGAAAATTACTAAGATTATCATCAACGAACATGAAATTAAAACATGAACATACATTAATAAAACCTAGACGATTCGATGGAAGTGTTGCTGAAGGAAAACCATCTTCTATTCAAATTTATCGTATACAATGTATGGCCATTTCGGCAAATATGGCAAAATTGGCTATCTGTCATTCCCAAACAAATCACATCGAACTATGGGACTTATCAACCAACGAAGTGAAAGATAAGTTTGCGCTAAAATCGGCTGATAAACAATCGTCTGATCGACATTCATTTCAAGTAAATGGCATGTCATTCGCTGCCGATTCTGAACGCTTGGCCATTGGACAATCGGATCATGTTATCTACATCTATAAAATTGGCAATTCATGGTTGGAATTTCTATTACTTTTAATCTGTTTTTTATCGATAAGAAAAAAAAATTGTTCATTTTATTTCATAGGGGACAAAAAAAGTCGATTATCAACAAATATTCATTGCAAAGTGCCGTTTGTGCATTGCATTGGCTTGCCACCGGAATCGTTTTTGCATCGATTGATGGTCGTGTCAAATTCATTCAAGCTCATACAAACAAAATGTCAACTTTAATCAATGTTCCGAATTCTATTTGTGTATCAATGTGCTATAACCAGGATCAAATTATAGCCGGTTTTCTCAATGGTCAGATCTGGTCCAATTCATTGACATCGAATCTTCGGGAATCTTCAGCACAATTGTTGGCTAATCACCCTACACCGCCGTTTGCTTTAGCATTAACATCAACAGGCTATATTTGTGCAGCTGGTTGTGATGGCCGTATTTTGTTTCAAGAACTTACCGGATCTAGTTCTGCGAATAATTCGGCTCTTGAAAAGTCACGAAAACTTTCGTCTTCGTCCAACAATTCAACTGCAACACCAGCCAACAGGCAAACAATTGATCATGGTCAAGACATCTCTATGGCTGTCAGTTCACCCTCTGGAACAGTTTTAATCTTGGCATCCAAAGAATCGTTGCTGATATTTCAGTTAGAATCTCGGATATGGAAACACAAATTCACAGTTGATATGAAAGGTTCATTTTTGATTACCGGACTTTGTTGGTCAGCTGATGGAACGAAATTGGTTGCTTCGACATTGAATCAAGCAGTCGAATTATACCGATGTCAATGGCAATCCAAAATGGTAGGAAATCGATTCGAAATCAATTATGTTGGAAATCGACAATTGGTGATCAGAGATTTACAAGCAAATCAATCAAAAATGTTTGTTTCACATTTTGATATTCAAGAAGTGAAAATTATCAAGGAAAGTTTTGTTGTAATTTGGACCACCAATACATTAATTATGGGTAGCTTGTCGAATGAATCTCAACGTTCAGAAATTGAATGGCTTGGATTAACAACGCGTGGAGTGAAATTTTCGTTTGACTATGAAAATGTTGCATTAATCAGTGCTGTCGGTGAATTGTATCTTGTCGAATTGGGTCAAAACCAAATTCTTGGATCAGTTCGTACTGATTTCATATCACCTCATTTGATATCGGTTCGAATGAACGAACGTAATTCGAAATCTAAAATTTTCGCCTATCTATTAGATGCTAAAAGCATTGCTGTAATCGATTTGATCACCGGATTACAACTGAATACATGGGCTCATTCAGAGCGTATCGATTGGATTGAATTGAATGAAACTGGTCATCGTATGATTTTTCGTGATAAAGCATTAAAATTGATCTTATTATTGAATGTAGTACATCAAGATCAGATAGTTCTGTTAAATCATGGTTGTGCTTTTGTACAATGGGTGCCTGGATCTGATGTTGTTGTGGCTCAATGTCGAGATAAACTCTATGTCTGGTATGATTATAACAAACCAATTATTCATCAAGTGATTGGTGGAGAATTGAATGAAGCATTTGAAATCGAACGCATCAATGGTGTTACAAAAGTTAAATTCTCACAACCCAATACAGATATTATATTGAATGAAGTTCTGTTGGAATATGATACGGCTATTGATGATGGAGATCTGGAAAGGTATTGGTTGAGATTAAATAAAATTTATTAAATAACACATTTTATTTTGACATAGGGCCCAATCTTTCTTAGAATCGTTAAGTGAACAGCAGAAAAATTCTCAATCGGTAGTCATAACCGATACAAATTCAATGTGGCTCCAGCTTGGAAATTTAGCTTTAAAAAATTTAAATCTTACAGTTGCTGAACGTTCTTTTGCCGCTATTGGTGATTTAGCTAAAGTGAATTTCATTCACCAATGTCAACTTGATTCATCTATGCTTGCATTGTTAGACGGCGATTGGGATCGTTTTGAAAGTGGTAATTTTGATAAGGTTCTTTCCATTTATCTAGACACATATAATTGGGATCGTGCAATCAAATTTGCAACAAAATTTGGACGTCATGATTTAGTAGAAGAGTTGCAACAAAAATATTATCAATGGTTATTGGATACGGGACAACATTCGGTTGCCGCCATGATTTTGCAACAGAATGGAAAATTAGAAGAAGCTATTGGTTTATATATGAAAGCCGGTCGTTTAGTTCAGCTCACTAAATTGATTGTTGATTATTTCAGTGCAAATAGTGATCAAAATCAAATCATTAGTAAAGATTTAGTAGATAAAATAATCATCGATCTTGAACGAGCTGAAGCATATGAAGAAGCGGGCGATTTATATCAGCTTTCCATAATAGATGATAAACAGAATGCATTACGATCATTCACGAAAGCCAAAGCGTTTTCAAAAGCTATCAATCTCGCACGTATACATTTTCCCGATGAAGTTGTTACGCTGGAGAGTCAATACGGTGAATATCTTATGAATGAAATGGATGATCCATCCAATGCTGTCAATCATTTTATCGAAGCCGGACGTACGGAAAAAGCATTGGAAGCAGCCGTTGCAGCTAGGCAATTTGATCGTGCGGCTGAAATTGCTTCAATTTTAGATCAAATTCCGACTCATTATGGTAAAAAAATTGCTGAACACTATGTCCAACGTGATGAAATCGAACCGGCATTGGAAATGTATCTAAATATGAGCTGTGTTCGTGAAGCTGTTCAACTGTTGAATGATCGTGGACAATATGCACGGGCATTTAAAATCGCTAAACAATTAATGTCGACTGATGAAGCACGTGAAATGTACGAGATAATCGCCAAATCTTATGAATCAAATGGCAAATGGAAAGAAGCTGAACGAATTTATATCGCCTGTGGTGATGTCGATGCAGCAATTTCAATGTACAAAAATAATCGTGAATTTGATTCGATGTTAAGATTGGTTAGACAACATCATCCTGGACTTTTGAATGAAACTTGTATCTATTTGGCTCGAGAATTAGAATCGGATCATTTGTACAAACAAGCAGAACAATATTATTTGATGGCTAATGAATGGCAACAAGCAGCTCAAATGTATCGTAATGTTTCTCAGTGGGAAGATTCCTATAGGGTTTCACGTGCAAATGGTGGTGCATCAGCTGCCAAACAGGTTGCATTTCAATGGGCACAAACGATGCCGATACCGCAAGAAGCAGTTAGCCTATTAAATAGATTTGGCTTATTAAATCAGGTTGTTGATTATGCCTTGGAAAATAATGAATTTGAATTTGCATTATCATTGATTCGTAATTCTTCCGATTTAAAGGTAAGAATTTTTTACTAATTGATTGAAATTTAATACGTTTCGCAAATAGCATAAATTGATTGATGTTCAACTTAAATATGCCGGCTGGCTTGAAAATGAAAATCTTTTTAATGAAGCTGAAACAATGTATGTAGAAGCGGGTAAACCCAAAGAAGCGGTAATCATGTATTTACATCATAATAATTTTGATGATGCACTTCGTGTTGCCGAACAATATGTTCAACAAGAAGATGAAGTTGTTAAAGATATACTCACAGCCCAAGCTCGTTACCTTTTCGAACAAATGAAACGATATAATGATTTTGATCGAATCGATCGTGTTGAAACATTGTTGCTTCGAGCTGGCCGTATCGAAATGGCTGTACGTTTATTTCGCGATTCTGGATTATGGGATGAAGCTGTTCATGTCGCTGAACAATATGCTCCGCATTTATTGGATTCACTTCGTCGTGATATGATTACATCGACTACAGCTCATGCGACATCCGCTTATCAATCTCTTTCGCATCAATCATCAAGAGTGAATAGTCCAAGAATGATGAATCAATCGGATTATGGACAACAACAACAATCAAATGAAATGAGTGAATTAGATTTAACACAAGCTTTGAAAACAGCTGAACAAAATAATGATAAAGAATCCATTGTTCGATATTCAATGCTGTTAGCAAGTCATTTGTTAAAAGAACATCAAGCGTACGATTCTCTTAAAGTATTAACCAAGCATTCGTCATCAACATTTATTTTGCCTGATTCAAAGAAGTTAATGTCTCGAATAGCTGTAGTAATATTATCCGAAATGGAGAATTTTGATGATTCAACTTCTAGTTCAAGTCAAATGTACATGTTATTACGAAATTCGTTTCAACAAATATTGGTGCAGAATTCCTCCTTGAATCAAATAGAACGGGAATTGTTTGAAAAATACCTACTCATATCCCATTATCTAACATTGAAATGTTTACTTGAAGAATTGGCCAATACATATCCTCAGTCACCGGCTATTGGCAGTATTAGAGAATTACATCTTAAACTATCGATTTCAATGTTACGCTATACAGATGTTGTACGCGCTGATAAAGCATTCTATGAGGCAGGGATAGTTTGTCGATCATCGAATCGTTTGGATATGGCATTTGTATTTCTAAATCATTTTTTAGATCTATTGGACGCTATTGAAGAACAAAATTTTAATGTCGATCATTCGGATTTTGTCAATACAGATATACCATGTGAAGTACCTCTACCATCAAAAATTATGTTCGATGAAACAACCATTGAAGAAATTAAAAGTTGGGTATTGCAAACATCAATGGATACTGAAATGTCACAATCATTACCATTGGATCCTATGCGTGATGGTGAAGTATATGAGGCAAGTTTGATAAACGGAGATAATACAAGATGTTTGCCATGTTTGGTGACTGGATATCCAGTGGCTGCCAAACATAAAATGATTGAATTTGAATCAGGTAAATATGTAGCAAATAAAGAAGATTGGAACAAATTATTGATGATCGCTAAAGTATTGGATGATCAAAAATTACGCGAACTTTTACAATTTATCGGTACATTATGTGGCAATATGAATATTGTGAAATTCTCATTTCAATAAATTTAATTTCTATAGAATAAATTTTTTCTTCTTTAGAAGAATCTATGAATGGATATTTTTATTTTCAAATTGAACTTATGTTTATGAATTAAGTTTTCGTTGTGATTGCCGTTGTTGTTAAGGTATTAATCTTTTTTGAAAAACAAAAATTTTTCATATTCGAAATTCTGCTTTTTATCACAATGTAAGAAGATTAAAATTAAACAAAAAATAATTATCGAAAAATAATAGAATGCTAACAAAATAATAAACTTAAAATCAAAAATATTTTATCAAATGAACAAATAAGATAACGACGATTATAGGGTAGAACGAATTCTTGAAACATTTATAGCAAAGTTTTTGCCTAATTATAAGATGTAAGATTGTCTTTTGTTGGTCGGCATGAAGTGGATTGATGGAATCTAACTCAGTAAACGGGTAAAATGATTGCAACAAATTCTATACAACAATAAGATAAAAGCATGGTTAACAAAATGATTGATAAAAAATTAAAAGATATCCAAGTAAAATTCGGCGATTATGGTTTTAGTGATTGCAATTTGAATGTTTGAAATTTTTTTTTTGTTGTGATTATCATGAATGAATTTGACAAGTTAAATACTTAGACCACTATCGGCAAGTGTAGCTCGTCGATTGTTTTGTGGTGATGATGATGAAACAGTTGCATAAGTGGAGGATCCATTTGAATTTGGAATGATTGTCGCGGCTGATTGTGTGGATGAATTTTGTTTTGTTGGATGAAGAAATTGCAAACAAGGCATACTTTTACCACTTAATAATGATGATCCACGACTTCGATTTAATGCTTTTTTCAACGTGTAACCTAAACCTTGAAGAAACAAGAACAGAACTTCAGCGGTTTTATTTGGCTGTTCTTCCAAAGGCATTGAACAATCACCAAGTTTGACCCAAGTTGAATTTGTTGGATCTAATCGTGAATTCATTTTTACAGATTCATCTACATGTGGAGAATAATCGGCACTAACGATGGCTACAGGGCATTTGAAATTCGTGATACGGTCATCACGCGATATACCCAATGCTGTACGATTCAGATATGATTCCAAAAAGCGAGCCAGATTGTTTTTATTGATTACTCCGGAACTAAAATATCGCCGATAAAATGTTACCGCTTCTTCATCGATGGGTCGATCTGGTAAACTTAAGTTGCCAAACAAATGCCAGAGGAAATAATCCTGAACGGTTAGAGGAAGATCCTGATTCTGAATTGATGAACTTGGCGTTACATTTGCTGTCGATGGTGGTTGAGCCAATGCACGGAGATTCAATTTCTGATAGAACCATTCGGTCCATGTAGATGTTGTTGCGGATGGATTGATCAAAAATAATCCTTCTACCATATCTGGATGTTTGAGAGCAAAACGACTAAGAACATTACTACCTGTTCCGTAACCAAAACCAATAAATTCCTGTATGTTATAATAGCGACATATTTCATCCAGTTGAGCGCATAATTCATCCATGGTCGGAAACAGATAATTTGAAGAAAGATCTTCGGAATTCTCTTCTTGTCCGGGCGCATTAATATGATAGATACGGAAATCTTGTAACATCTGCTTAATATATGCTCGAGAAAAGAATGATTCGAAATTGGAGAAATAATTGAGGCCAATATCATGATAGGTGATGATTACTGGTCTTGGTGGGAGTGATTTATTTTGTCCATCTACTATTATCGCTGGCGATTGTTTAACAACAACTACAGGACCAAACCTGGTCATCAAACGATCACGATCAGCATCGCTTGTTTTTGATAATAATCTTGATTTATCAAAATCATCGCCACCATTTTCACAATCTTCATTTGAGCCGGGAAAACTGAAACTAATCTTTTCCAATTCTACTTCATTGACACTTGATCTTGAGCCGAAATTGTTGGTCAATTTCTTAGGCATTGAACCGATATTGTTGAAAAAAGAATTGCCAACATTTGCTGATGATGTTGAACCAAGTCCAGATTCGATTAAGCTTAGGTCGTTAGCATCATGGCTAACTTTTTTATAGTAGATAGGCATTTTTTCGTTATTGTTGTAACTAAAGATTGGATTAAAATGATTAATAAAAAATTAGTTCTATTATCAGAATTCATGTATGTTTTTATTTTATCTACGTCAATTCTAGACTCGGTAACCAATAGATACTACACCTACCGTGTAAAGTATAGTGTGTAATGTCTGGAACAAATTAAACTGTGGGAATGATTGTCGATAAGTGTTGTTATGATGATGAATTAGCTTGAAGAATAGAGTCTATATTCAACGGGAAAAAAGTGTCGATGTGACTTAGTGGATAGTATTATATTCAAAGTGTAAGTATAAATACAAACAATCGAAATAATAATTTAATTGAAAATATAGTGGTTTTTTCAAGCGCTTCTGTTTCGAGTAACTTTCAACAAGCTTTTGATGTAATCAATTTATGCTATTCATTCAAGGTTGTTGATACAAGTTTTGTTCTTGTCATGATTCGATGAAAATAAACATTTAGTATTTACCTTTGCGTTGAATCATTAATTCAATGATTGTCGATTACAATTGCTATCACTTTTAGGTAAAATTAAACAGGAAACAGTGATCAAAAATATTGTTTGAAATTGATTAATTAAAAAATGATTCAACTTACTCATTGATCAAAAAGATATTAATATATAAATGATGATAAAATTGCAATCATTTCAATAAAATGCAACGAAATCCAAAGTCCAACAAATGAATAAACAAGATGGAAAAAAATATTTCTTGTTATTGTTATTGTTTTGGATAATAATGTCAAAAGCATACACGCGCATTAAATAATTTGAAACGCACTTTGGTCTTATAAAAAAATAAATAACATTTTGGATTCAAAACTCGTTTCGAATCCAAATCGAATAACAAGACTTCGATGTTTGTATGTGTATCTCTGTTCGCGTTTATGTTTAAGTGAGCTCGATTTTTTCGTTCTATACGGGTGCCGTTGTAGTGGTAACTAAACAACGATAAATAATGAATTGAATAGAATGGCAAACAAAAAAAAGAATCAAATCAAGCTATTAGCGCATATTAATAATTTTAACTGTATCATTTCCTTTTATGTATTTCCATTTCGGTTTATGATCATTGGTTTCATTGGAGATCAATATACCTAGCATAGACATTATGATGAATCATTCGGGATTTATTCAAAAAAGGAAGTTAAAATTTGAACAATCATGATTTGATTTATGAGGATCGCTTTGTCGTCTAATTTAAACATGAATTGTCATGTCACGATTCACATTCGATGACATTAATTTTGACAATTTTATAAAATTTTTATGCAATTTTTCAATGTACATTCATATTCGATTTGGTTTCTGTAGTAATAGATTGCATTAAAAATACTGCTGGATGATGAACGATCATTGATCATTGCAACAAATTCAGTCTGATCAAATCCAATCAAAAGAAATCGATGTTGATAATGATGATTCACCGAAAAAAATAACATGATAACTGAATTTGATTGGCATGAAGCAAACGAAATTTTAAAAAAATGTAGTTATTTATGTTTTGAACATCTGCATTTATTTTTGATTGAAATTCTGGTATATTCCAGATTTTCAAACAGATTTTTTTTCTAGTGATTTGCTTAGTCAAATTATTAGCCTTATTTGGGTCTATATTAACTATCGAAAATAGACTGAGAATGGCGACAGTGAAACTGTCAAAAAAAATACGCCGATTTGGGACAATATTCAATCAGTTATTATAGCCATTATATATTTTCTGAATCTGAAAAAATTCTAAAAGCAATACGCAATGCTACCCAGATGCGCTCATATCGAAATCAGAATATCAGAGTCTACTTTAGACTCTAAAGAATATATACATTTGCCGCTACTACTTTTGAATAAAGCGCGAATCTTTAATCTTAAACATTGTTTTATTCATGGTGCCAAGAATATGATCTTGGTTGAAAGCCGAAATTTCGGTTCATAATGGAATGTCATTCTGATGGTCGATTTGACAATGATTTTTCTTTTTTTTGAAATTCTGGACCAATGTACATAGATTTCCATGATCACATATACTAGCAAAAAATATTAAACAACCACAATTTATAACTTTATTATTTCTTTTTTCGTTCTCGAAAATCGAATTATTTTTCAGATTCTTTTAACACTAATTGAATACATTCTTCATAAAAATCGGATATTAAACAGCTTTTCCTTGAAATTTTTTCCTAATACGTAGGCTCATTGAAGTTGCTTTCATCATCGTCATTTTTATCGCTGTCGTCACCATTGTCCTCATAATTAGCTGTATCATCATCGGTTTTGTTTTCTTCGACTTTATTTTCATTTTGTTCATCATTTTTGTCTATGGATGATGATTCATCGACTTTCGTCTCATCATCAGCAACTACTGCTTCCTGGCCATTCTGAACATCGTTGTTATTATCATCCGAGTATACAACTTCAGAACTTTTGGATTCTTCTTGTTGGCCATCTACTTTGGATTCTTCTTTAGTTTGGTCAACTGTATCATTTGGTTGATCTTTTTGCTGGTCGATCGAATTATTCTCAATAGTCGATTCATCAATCGGCTTTGATTGCGTTTCTGGCTCTGGTACTCCTTGTTTTGCCAATGGAATATCCGAAGTTGAATAATCAGGTTTCGATTGTGCTTCCGGTGCAATTGGTAATTTAGTCTCAGTCTGCTCATTATCATCTGAATCACCTTCTTTACGGATCAATAAATTTAGAAGGATTGGAATAGGCACAGGTTTGACAATTAAAACACGTTCCATTACTGCTGGAAGTCGTCTACCGCCACAACAGCCATGCATGCGTCTCATAAATGGGATGCCAAACATCGGTCTAAATGGAGGATATCCAGATTCATTGTCGGATGGAATTTCAGGTTTCACATCCTATTTTTGGAATTCAATTTTATGTTTGTTCCGAATTGTATTAAATACATACCTGAATCACATTTTCTGTTTGATCTAAAACTGGGTTTGCACATGCAAAACTCACCAGCCAAATAGCGATTGCCAAAGTCTTTGCCAAATTTATACCGCTGAACATTTTTTTTCAAATTAGAATAGTGTGTGTCTGTCTGGCACAATGAATTAAATCCAAGTGAAACTTGGACATTTGTAGACATCCTTCATTTATTGGTTTTTTTAAAGCTATATTTTATTATGTGATTGCCAGGATATGTTTGTCTATTAGTTCTTGTTAATCATCATTTTCCTCGTCCTGGCAGATACTAACAGGAAATTGCAATTCCTTTGCCTTTTTGTTTATCGTTAATTGGCCAACAATTTTTTTCATTTAAATTTATTTCAAAAAAAATAGATGGACAGAATCGAAAAAACAACAACTTTATTCATGAATGTAAAAGTAAAAGTTCAAACCGGCAAAAGTTGGAAAAAATGTTACATGGAATTGCAAAATCATTAAAATATGCATTGTGACTTATATAAGATAACTTATGATTTATGATTATCTTAGATTTATATTTTTTCAAATTTGTCTCAATTTTCTATAGTCTGGTTGTCAAAATTGTTCCGAAAAATTTAGCAATTTTTTTGTCTGAAATCAGATCCAGAAAATTTATTCTCTTTGAACAAAGAATAATACCACTTCCTTTATGTGATCCTATATATTCTGGAGTAGAAAATGGCATCAGAATTTTCTATATGATTCAATTGTTTATATTATTCTATTCAATGATTGTGATGTTTCTTGGGGTGGAAATTTTTTTCAACATTATTGCGTATCAGTTATTTAAGACCTTGGTTGTCCTCCTCCTCCCTCTTTTTTTGTTTTTTACAAAATTTTGGGATAGATTGTTGTTGTTCTTATTTTCAGATTTTATTTGATCATTATCCCTGTTGGTGAATTAAATACAAACTAATTATAATGCCAGTCGTGTTGATTGCTACCGATCGGACATGGACCTCTGTAAATGCAACCGAACTAAATGATCATATACTTAATGATGGTATTTTTGAAGGTCCAACATTTATCGCTCGTGATGAATTCGGCATTCCACCTGATGAGACATTTCTGTATAAAAGTCTTAACGCACATCTTGTTCGTGATCAAACATTTTCGACTAATCTTAAAGCGGCAACCGTTTTGAGTAAGTTTTTGAGTAATTGAATTTTTATTTAAAATTAACAACAACTGATTATTCTTTCAGGTCGTTTTGTATCACATGGATATCGTATCGTATCTTCGGCGGGATCCGGCATCGGAACATCAGGAAAAGCACGTTACAGTGCCGATGTTGCCGTCACTGATTATCGTTGGCTATGGACATTGGTTAGGGATGATATGGCACCACCGCCATATCCATCGATATCATCGAATACGTCACAGATGAGAGAAAAACCAAATTATTCATCTCATGGTGATAACGGAGATTCGAAAACTAATGGAAATTGCAGTAGTAGTAGTACTAGTAGCTATCGAAATTAATTCTGATAGAATTCACAATCGTTAATTATTTCAATTTATTGACAAAATCATACCAGTAACATCAAAACCAACAAATACAAAAACAAAATTATTTATTATTGTTTGATTTAGGTCGGTTAGGACACACACGATTAGAATTGCCTAGTAATTTAAAAAAATCACATGCAAATGAGCCGAGAAATTCGATTCGTTGCCTATCGATCATAGTTTGATTTATTCTAGGCTTATAACTTTCATTTTCCGGTTTTTTTATTGAAGGCGTGTAGTAATACTTCGGAGAATATCCCAATCCGTGTGTAGCAAATGTAATCGGTGGTGGTGAAAAATATGGCGTTTGGCTATTTGATAATGTTTCATTCGAATCAATAACACATGATTGAAAATTTCTTACATCCTTATTATTTACACGACAAAGCCAACAACTATAGCCAGTTATTATCTGTGCTTTTGATGAAGATGATGATGATACTGGTAAACATGTCCAACCAACATTTTTATCATATTGACTGTTGACAATTTTCAAGCCATCCAAAAATCCTAATTCATTTATTTAAAAAACGACATTTGTTATTGTTTTTGATTTTTTAAAAAATTGTTAAATATAAAAGAATTTTAAGAATAATCATCATATGGATACTAACCATTATTAACAATTGATTGTATTACAATGTTGATGAATGTGATTAAAATGCCAGTGGATAGAATGGATTTATTGATTTGTATATTAGCCATTTTTCATTGAAAGAAAATTTATTGCATTGGTTTAAATCTATTTAAAGCCATTGTAATTATCAATAATACTTAGAAAACAAGGAAAGATTAAACATCGATCATAATTACTTTTCTCACCAGATTTTAATCATTAACCCGCTTATTAGTGAAAGATTTTAACATGAGAGAATCATGTTCATGGTTCGATGGCCATCAAGGCCTAATGGTAATGATAATGGCATTAGTAATATCATAGTAATTGATTTCGATGATGCAATGATATTGGTGGCATCATTAAATCACATTGAATTGTTTCAAATTTCAACTATCAAGCCAATCATTTTTTTAATTATTATTTTTTTCTCATAAATTTGATTTGTTGTGTGTGTATGTGTGTGTTTGATTCTGTTCATATCCATAAGTGAGAGAAAAAGAATTAAAAGAAAAAAATTGAAAAATGCAAATCAAATAAAATGAATGAGTAAAATATAATATAACAATTATAATAATAAATTAGACTGAAGTTTGTTTGTATTCTGATTGTTTTGAACAGTGAAGAAAAAATGATTGTTTAATTAATCCAGATTTTAAATAAATTATTTGTTTGCCGGGAATTCGATGATGGAATTGATTTTTTTTTCTATAAAAGATTTCAATGAATAAATGATTTTAAAAAACAAACATCAACTGATTCATTATGTGATCAAGTCAGAAGTAATTTTTTTTTGAAATTCCAAAAATTAAACAGACTTTTATGTGTCAGTTGATAAAACATATCTTTTGAGGATATTCTTTGAAGTTTGTGTGCATTTGTATGTGTGAAATATTATTGTCGATCAATATAGAGATGTGATGAACAAAATGAACAAATAATCAGCAGCATTAAAAGGGGGCATCATTAATTTTCCGATTAATATTGTTTTGATTCTTCGAAATCAATGAAATCTTTTTTTTTCAAAATTAACTTCGTTGTAATTTTTTCACTTGTTTCGAGTCCAAATCTCCATAGTATTTTTCACTAGATAAATGAAACAAGAAATAAAAGAAGTTATAAATCAAAAGTGAAAAAAAACAATTTAACATGAACAGGATCTTAGATTGACAATGTGTGTAAATTTGTAAACAAAAAAAATGCTAGCATGGAATACTAAAATTGATGATGATGACAAGAAAAAACTAGGTCATTGTTTTAGCAATGTTCAATATCACAATTGACAACCGTGTCACATTATTATTCACACAGCAGAGATACACAAATACTGACCAACATTTTGGGACATGATCATGAACAAAAAAAAATGCCATTGGCATCATTGGCAATCATTATTGTTGACTAGATTTTCATCTTAAATATCATCATCATTTCGATTTGGAGAAAAAATAATTCAGTTTCCATTAATCTTTAAATTTCTGATCCAACAATGACACTCGATGGTGATTTAAGATCGTTGATTCCTATTGATTTTAAAATATTCATAGATCCTTATCAAATAGAACGATCTTCATATTAATTACTTTCATTCACTCTTTTTTTCAAAAAATAATCATCTCATTTTATCTCAAAGTTTCTTGTTTAAAAATCTTATCATTGACAACTATAAATATACAACAGTTTTCGCTATGTTTAGTTGGAATTTCTTAGGCAAAGGGGTTATAAATTTATAATTACCATCCAGGTACATTTTCTGGATCATCACATTGAAGCGTATCGACGTTGAATACAGTTCCAAGGCTACAACCTATTTTTGAATGATAAAATCAAAATTTGAGATTTGTTATAATTCATATCTCATCTACAATCACTTACCGTAAGGACGAGCAACACCTTCAATGCAGACATAAAATTTACGACAATCGGTTGGATGAGCATGTCGAGTATAATGACCGGGCTGATCGGTTTCAGTTGGATCTGGACAAACAAAGCCATCGCTTACTTCTATATTGTTGAACATTTCCAAGATAAAATAGACAAAATCCATAGCATTAGCCTTACTATTCTTTTAATCAATTAAATAAAAAAGACTAACCTGATTGATCACAACGATCAACATGATCAGCCCAAACACAAACACGTTGATCATCATCATAGGCTAGACCTGGTGGACATTCATATCTTGAAGCTTCTCCATTCCAGCACGAATAGAAAATTCGACAATTGGATGGATCAGAAAAAATACCGTATAATCGTGGACAATGAGGCGTACTAATTGGTGGTTCTGTTAAAAGTAAATAATGATGGTTAATCAAAAAAAAAAAGATTAAAACTAGAGTATTATGTCATACCTAGATCAGATCGATCACCACAATCGACAGAAAATGGATAAGCACAATTTTCACGTCTCGTATCAGAATCATCGAACACTAGACCATTACCACAGGTTTTCAATGTAGCCGTACCTGTTTTTTGAAACATCAATAATAATAATAACAAATAATTAGAAAATTATAAGTTTAAAATTGAAATTCAATAAATTCAAAAAATTAACGACTAATTTCAAGCAAAAATATTCTTACCATTATCACATGCCCAATATTTGTCACAACTTTTTAAATGTGGATAAAATCCAAAATCGTCGAGACATTGAAAAGATGATCCACCACCAAGATGAATATTTGGATTAGATGGTTGGAAACTATTTTGATTCAATATGGCTCTTGGTGGTTGTGGTTGCTGTGCTGGTACAACTGCCGGTGGCTGATATGGCAATGATGATGGCTGATTTGATGAAGATGGATTGAATGAGAATTGTGGTGGTCTTTGGCACAAAACTATCAATAATTTGATTAGTTTTTCAATTTGGCTAAAACAACACAAATATTTTTCACAACTTACCAGTTGAAGTTATGGCGAATAAACAGGCCAATATGATCGAAAAAGGAGATTGAATCATTTTTTGTGATTAATTTTATATGAAAATTCTGTAAAAAAACAAAAATTTTATGAAAAAAAAAAAATCAAAAATTATTGAAAGAATTTAAATATTCATCGATTAAATCGAATCGATTCCACTTTAAACAAAAAACACCCAATGATTGACCGACTTTTTTAAAAATTGTATTCAAACAATATACAACAGATATGACTAAACTTACCAACTGGAAGATATGAAAGAACGAATGAATAATTTTTTTGCTGCCTTTTTTTCTTATTTTCACACAATTTTTGGTAAAAAAAGTTATATTCGAAGTTATGGTTTCATTCAAGCGTGTTTGTATGGTATTCTTGTATTATCATCATCCTCAACATCGACGTTTTTTATTATTATTCAATGATAGATTTGGAAAAATTATATATAAACTCGTTGACTGAATAAAAGAAAATCTTGGATTTTTTAAAATCATCATTAATATTCAAAAGCTAGAAAGGCGTTTAACGAGATCAGATTTCAGTAGACTATGTTTTACGAAAAGAGAACATGACTCTCTTTTGAAACTTGAATTTTTTTTCTTGTGTATCATCGGAAAATAAATACAAAAAGGTTGAATGATGATAAGGTGATTCAAAGATTCGACCTAAAAGAGAGAGAGAGAGAGAGAGATTGTGCCTTCTTCCTTTCGCCTTCATTTTATTGTTGTTTCGTTTGTTTTTGATTTGATGATTCAAAAATGAAAGCAATCGAATATCCGAAGAGAAAGCAGGACACACAAACACACAGATATTTATGAAGAAAGAGAGAATATTTGGTGATAGAAATTTGTATCGATGGATGAATATCCGATCATTTGAATTGTACAAAGTGGACATTTTTTTAAATGATTTTTTCTGTCTAAATAGAAAAATTATTGATTGATCAATGATTGATCTCATTTTCTTGGGTCATCATTGTCAGTGAACCTGAATCAAGTCTAAAACATGATCAAATTGACCGACGAAAAACTACACACACCTCATCATTATCATTAGAATGAAAAGATATATTCAATTATTGGTAAAATTTATGTGAAAAATGTTAAGATAGCAGTAGCAATTATCTTGGGCGATACAAATAAATAAGAAAAAATTTTAATTTTTTTCTTCGTTAAATTTTCAAACTAAACTCTGAATGATATTTGGAACAAATAGAAAAAAAATTCAGGAAGAAATATTTGTTCATTTTATTTTGTTGTTTGAATGTTTTTACAGGTCCCTTCACAACTGATTGTTAAGTGTGTGTGGCCACCGAACGTAACAGATAAAATGGGAATTTCATTTTTTTTATATTGAAATATAATTTTTTTAGTCCTCAAATACAAAGGCACAGACAACCACAAACGGGCGTCATCATATGCAGAATAGATATAAATTAGGCTAGACACTTCGACAGGTAAATATTTGATCAAAAATTTGTTGGGCAAAAAAATTCAAGTTTTTTTCAAACACACTTATGAAAAATAAGAAATAAAATTAATAAAACTTACAGATGATTAGATTGAGAAAAAGATTGCAGAAATACACACACATAAACGTAACACAAATATCAAATCAATGAACAACAAATAACAAATGAAAAGTGTAGAGATCAGAAATGTTTATAGTGAGGATTTATGAATCAATTATTTGTCGAATATCGAAGAAAAAAATAATAATTCAGAGATCATCCACATTATAAAAATGGTACAAAAAAAGAGTTGATCAATCATTTGCTTTTTATATGACCAGATCCATGTTTCATCTGTCTTTTTTTAAGGATTTTCTTTTGCAAAAATAATTTTTGAAACACCCATCTGAAAGATTATATATTGTAATAAGGTAAGGAAAAAAAGCAAAAAAGAGAGATAAAGAAACCAATCCTTAATATATGACCAATTGGGGAGAATTCATTATTATGAATGAAAAAAGTCTTGTTTTTTAATTTAAACAGAACACAATAATGATTCTTATTATGATGATAATTATGACATTTTTGGCATTTGCTTGAATCCAAAGAAAACTACAAAAATATGAATTCAATATTTAAGAATCGTTTCTGAATAAATGTAAATTTATGTTTTTATGTTGTAATTGTTCATAGTGAACAATCACGAAATTGTATCCTAAAGACCTTTTGGCCTGGATGTTCTATTCGTGCCCATGATTGTTTTGATGTGTCATGCGATTCAATCAAATTCATTCTTTCATTCATTTTAATTCAACTAGCCAGGTGATGATGACGATGAGGTCAATCAACTTTTTTTAGGCACCATATTTATATATTTTTTGATATTATCCAATGATAATCATTTATAAGTGAATGTGTAGGAGCCATCATCATATCATCATTTGAAATAAGCGACAAATATCACTATACTTTCCGATAGTAACGGAAAGGAATACTTAAAGCGAAAAATAGAAATGGAAAATAAACCATTAGGCTTAAAGTTTGATTGTCAAATAAAATGATTATAATGAACTTGTCTATTATCATCATCATAACAATTCACATTTATTATTTTGCATAGTATTAAGTAGACATAAGGTTTTTTCATCATAAATGAATAATAGAATGGCATGACTTTGAATTTTTTTCTCTTGCGAAGTTACTAAACTCCATATTGATCACAAACAATGGAACAAAAATACACATCATACATTTAGTTTCTATATTTCGTGATGAAAAATATGAAAAAAATTGACCAATTTTCTACAATTATCGAACCCTTCGAATATTATGATGACCATCATAGTCATAAGAATTAAAATTAGTTCAGATGTGATTGACCGACAAACAAACAAATGCCTGTATACAATGGTCAGATTTTTTGAGGGCTAAATCATCATCAACATAATGAATCTAATCATTTTTGCCTCATATATGATGATCACATTAAGTAACAGTAAACATAAAGAATTCGGCCATGGAAATTGGTGGCGGTTATTTTTATATCTTCGTTCATTAATTCGTTGTTTTCGACCATTCAATCTGTCTATCATTCAACCAGTCTGTCGGTCACTCAATCAGTCAGGTGGTTTAGGATTGATTCACATTCGCGTGCAATTTAAAATTTTGAATGTTCATTTTTGGAAACTGTTTGTTGTGACTAAAATAGTATATTTTTCATATATAGCTTTTTTTATTTTTTGTTTTGATTTTCTCGCAACATTCATAGCAAGGCAAACATTGCCCGTACGGGTGATTAATTGACCGTCCGGAAAGATTAAGGTCATCATTGAATGCTTTTCTCATTTTTTCTATTCGTATGTGAATACCTATCCAATAGCATGACTATCATTGGAAAAAGTTTTTTTTATCTCTTGTACTCTAATGAAATAGAAAATATCATCCTTATCATGATTTTGATCATAGCCAAAGGCATCATATAGAAATCGAAACATATAAATTTAGAAACAAAAGAATAGATATCTGAATTTATTTCTATGAATAAAATTTCCATTTCGTGAGGTTTATAAAACTTGATCCTTCATATAAATTCACACTTATATAACACATCAACTAACAATCATTTCATTGGTTGTCCGTTGTTGAAATCAAAGGTTTTTTTTTGTTTTGTTTTAACATTGGCCATAACATTTAGGTTGATGTTAATCGGGTTTTTGTTCGTTTGTTTCGCCAGTTTTTTGATCGAATCTTTGCTGTCCAAAATTAGAAAAAAGCAATCAACAAATGAAATATCTTATTCTATTTTTATTATGATGGATATCATAAAAATCATGATACATCGCTGACCCTTATGAACAACATATATAATGGTTGGCCTTTTGAAAATTTTTCCTTTCTTTAAAAAAAAATTTTTGACCGTCAAATTATTTATATTAGATTATGTAAAATTTAGCCATTTTGAACTTTATTAAGCAAAAGCATTTCCATTATTCTCTTATGAATATGATATAGCCCATATTGGAAAAACAAATGTTTGATGACTAACGAAAGACTAATTTGGACTTAAAATAATTTGATTTTATTTAGCTAAAATAAACGAATATATGATTAATTCGATTCAAATATATCACATTTAAATATTACAAAAACTTAAAGTGTTTGTTTCAGATTATACAATATTTCTTCGGCTTTTGATAATGTTTCATCTTTTTTGATGAAACAAAAACGAACCAAATTTTCTGCCAAATATTTATGGTCATCCGAATAGAATGCACTCATCGGTATTACTTGTAGTTTCTGTTTTTGAGAAAAAAAGATTAATTTTATAAGATTATATACAATTATAAAAAACAATAAATTACTTTATTTTTTGACATCCATTTGACAAAACGATAATCTTTAGTACCAGTTTCAATAGTTAGATCTACTTTAGCGGCCAATTTTTCAAAATCGGCAACAATAAAATAACCACCTTCAGGAACCGTTGGAATCATATCGACTGATTTCAATATTTCAGCTATGCGATCACGTTTTGGCTGAAGTAAATCGACCAATTCCGTCCAATAACAATCTTTTTGACCCATACGGTCGATTTCTTTTTCGAATCCAATAGCAAGCGCTTCCTGTATTGGTGTTGGACATGTGTAAACACAATTCTGATGTAATAATTGTAATGGTTGCATAAGGTGTTCGGGTCCATAAGCCCAGCCTATTTTCCAACCGGTCACTGAAAACGTTTTGCCAGCCGAGCCAATCGTTATAGTACGATCCCACATATCAGCAAGTGTGGCTTTATAAATTCAATAAAATAAATGTTTAGTAATGCATGACAATCATCATATAACACCGGGTGTGTGAAGTCAATCAATATGAATTTTTATCTATTTTTTGTCAAACGCCTAATCGACCTGAAAAATTGAATTACCAATAATCTTTTGCTTTGCTATGATCATTATTATTGATATTCATAAGAGACAGTCACACCTTAGTTGTACAAACCTACCCATACGGATATGTTCAGTTCCTGGATAGAATAACCATTCATAAACTTCATCACTGATGACTATTACATCATGTTTCTTGCATAATGTAGCAATCTGTTCCAATTCATCACGAGAGAAAATCTTTTTTGTTTGGGAAGTGCACATACAAGAGGAAAAAATTTATGGTGAAAATTTTGAATTCGTCAAATAATTGATAGAAAATAGACAAACCTTTCCGAATGGATTGTGTGGAGTATTCACAATAATCAATTTGGTTTTTTCATTAAATTTTGATTCCAATTCGACAGGATCCAACTTCCAATCTGCACTCGTTATAGTTGATTGATCATTTTTTGACACATCAGATCGTAGGCGAAGCGGTATGAACACTGGTCGGGCACCAGCCATTCGTACCATTGCTTCATAGCAATCGAAAAATGGTTCAATAATGATCACTTCATCTCCTTCATCAGTTAATGCCATAATAGATGAATAAAGGGCTTCATAAGCTCCAGATGTAACTAATATTTCTTTCAATGGATCAATAGGTCTTGCTTGCAATTTAGAATAGAGTTTGCTTAAAGCATTCACTAATCGCGGATGTCCCTACAATAATCGACCAATAAAAAAACAATTTTATGTTGATGAAAAATACAACAACAATTTTAATATGCATACAAATCCTCTTGTATATTGATTGAGAAACACATTATCACTTGTTGTGGCTTGAGCTAAAGCATGGGTAACCACTTCGGGTGCAGCAAAATCTGGAAATCCTTGACCCAAGTTTAATGGTTTATATTCGATGGCCAATTTGACGAAATCATTCCAAACACTTTCGGTAACACCGTCCAAACGTTTGGCATTTATTTTTTTGGCTATTGAAGACATTGAACGTATCTAAGAGAAAAGTTTAGTTTCAAGAATTTTATTGATTTATTTTGAATCGAAATGAAATAGTTTTGTGTTTTAAATTCATTAATGACCTAACACTATGATTATTATGAAGAAATTTAAAATTAAATGAAAATGTATTTTTTGAATATGCTAAATATGATTAAATGAATTTGGTTAATAAAATATGTTTTGTTTCAACTTATTGATGCCTTTGGAGTAATCGTCGTAATCGATGATAACAATGGTAGCGGTACGAATGTTGATGTAGTTTTTGGCTTTGAAGTCAAACTATGAAGGTTATAAACAAATGGTGAAAATAATGTCTTCTTGCAACGTAAAAAGATTTTGGTGGCCTTTTTTGTTGTGAAAAGTTGTTGAACTTGTCCGGTAGGATTTCCGATTGAATGCCGAATTGATAATAATAATGTATTGACTGACACCGGTTGTTTTCTCACCGCGAACATCGTTCAGTTGATTTGGTTAAATGAAATGAGTTTCTATCGATAACAATAACGATGTGTCTCCATAATAATAAAATTTTTGATAAACAAATTCAATAAATAAAATCATATGATTTTCAAATGATTAAAAACGACTGATAACAACACCATCTAGTAATTGTAAGTTGAGAAAAAAATTTAAATTTTTTTAAAGCGCCAATTTTTTTTTATTGTAAATTTATTAACAAATCTAATTTATTAAGAAAAAATTCCATTTTTTAAATTCATGAATAAGTGAAAAATTTAATTTGTGAAGAGTAATTCTTGCGTGGCAATATTCGTTTTTAATTGCTGCTCTTCGCCTATAATTAGTGAAATAATTGATTAATTATTTTTGAGAAAAAAATAAAACATTTTAAAACATTTACATAGTTGCACTGAAAGAGATGGTTAATCATAAATGATGGGTTAATTTTTTTTAATTGTTAAGTTTAGACTAGTTCTTGAATAATAAGAATTACTATGGTGTGGATTGAATTTGCAGGAAATAAAATTATTTTTTTTTCAATTTTTGTTGATGTGAAAGATTTGAAAAAAATTCTAATTGGAAAAAGATTAGAAAAATATTCAATTAACACTGAAACTTTTTTTTCAATGAAAAAATCAAAATACTTACAGACTTGTTCGTCATCAAGATGAAGTCCTAAACCAAGATGATAAAGCCATGTTCCCAAAATTCCACCAATATGAGGAGCAATCAGACCACCAATCAACCAATATAGATGACTATGCGGGGACCAAACTTCAGATCCATAACCGATCATCCAAGCAAATAATCGTGCCGGTATATCACGAGCCGGGTTCAAAGCCGGGCCACAATTCAAACCAAAAGCAGTGATTAAACCGGCAAGCAGAACAAACAATGCGATTGGTATTAATGGTTTAGGTGTATTAAGATTTCGATGATCAACAATACATAAAATGCCCAACATTAACAAACCACAGCATAGAATTTGATCAATAATTGCACCGGTAAGTGTTAGATGATGACCAGGATGAGAAGTTAGAATGCCAGCAGTCGAAGTAGCGTTGAAGAATGCTGAACGTACGCCACCATCAAACACGGTTATGGCAGAATAATGATTCATATAGGCTGAGAAAGATAAATGATCAAATCAGCTATTGTGTTTATAAATCAAAAATAAAACCGTACCGACTGCCGTAGCCAAAAATCCACCAATATATTGTGCAAGGAAATAATGAAAAATTTTCCAAAATGGAAGATGTCCCAGTGCCACCAAACTGAGCGTAACGACCGGATTTACATGACCACCGGATAATCGAGAACATCCATAGAAACAAAGCATCAATGCCATTCCAGTCGCAAAACCGATAGCCAGCTAAAAAAGATTATTCCATTTTCTTATTGTAGTTTTAGCAAACAGTATTATATAGCTGATTACTTACAACATCAATCTTGTGTGGTTTGCTCAGAACTTGTACGGCAATCGAACAATCACAAACCAACTGAAATAAAAATTTTTGTTTCTAGTCTTTATTTTAAACAATCGAATTGTCTTACCACAAGAATGAATGTGCCAAGCATTTCGGCAAGAAATTCACGAATCGTTTGATTCTGAATTCGATAAGAATAAAGAATGACACGATCTTGAGCCATTTTCGTTTTTTCACAATTCGTTCTGAAAATACAAATGCGTACAAATTAAAAAAAAGTATTTAAAGTCTGTTCGACACGACAATAAAATCAAAACTAAGTTTGATATGTGGACAATTTGCGAAGATCACCACTATCAGCATCGTGGTTGTGATTTTCATTTTTCTTCATACATATCCATTTACACTTTTTTCTGCAATTTATGATATACGATCGATTGATCGCAATTGTTTGGCGTTGATGTTGTTGTCTGTTTGTCTCTCGAATGTCATCGGTTTTTTGATTTTAATGTTTTGATTGCCATCGATTAACAAGGAATTTGAAAAAAAACTTTTTTTCTAAATCATCATTTTCATCAATGTATTAGTCAGTGACATTCATATAATTATCAGCATATTTTAATTTTTAAAAAAATTCGCTTCGATAATTCATAAAATCAAAAACTCCGTAATCAAAGTGGTTTTCTCGTAATTTGATACCCTTATCATTGACGATGGCGATTGTTTCGAATAAAATTAATCATTTCTTATTTTCATTCTTTGTAATTTATACTTATATAAGAAATATGAATCCCCGTATGAATCACATGAACATCATCATTAATAATGGCCGTAAGGATTTACTTACCGATATTTTCGATATTTTTGTCGTGTTTTTATCGAATAGTTGAAAACAAAACACTAACTTGTTGAAAAAAATTACAATCGACTTGCTTGAAGTAAAAGGTTATCTTTTTTTCTTTATTTCATTCACTGATGTCAAATGTATCTTACATTGATCAAAAATAATATAAAAAATTCCCTCTCTAGTTAAATTAGAAATGATATGAACAATTTATACGGCTTTTACGGTTTATATTACAATGACTTTTTTGACAGTATGATTGTTTCATCAGAATAACTATTACAAGCTCGCTTGATCATCCAACCATTTATTAAAATGAACTTTTGCATTCTTTACTTTTGTTTGAATGTTGTAGGACATGCAAAAAAAGTCTATTCGGATTTTCCTATTAATTTCTTCATAAATTAAAAATGAAAAAATTCTTTTATTTTTAGACTTTTTCTCATCAACTTCAACTTGGTTGTTATTGGCTATGTATCCTTAATTGGATAAGGATACCACACACAAATACTGATAGATGTTGGTTGTGCGAAAAGAGGATTCTATACAAACACACAAAGCCCCGAAAGATTATTTCATCATCGTCATCAGCAATATTAACGTTATTATTACAACTATTGTCGCTATGGAATGTTTGTTTTATCATTCATCATTTTATCATTTAAAAATACAAATATCCATTGTTCTCTATAGACGAACCATGTATCACCGGTTTATAGTATTCATCATGATGAATCCGAGCATTATACTCAATAATTTTTTTACTAACCTATTGAACGATCATATGATGATGATAATTGAATTTGGATTGGGCGGCGGTACTCTTGGAAAACACACCAATTAAAAAATGTGTTTTTTTTTGTTTCTATTGTTTGATTATTATGAAATGATAATTTGTCATACAACGATGATCAAAAATTGCACAAAATGGAAGAAAAAAAACTTATATACAGGAATAATTATCATCAATGAGATGAGGATTTTAATATCAATAAGTTCCTCGGAATCAAGTAGGGGAAAACAAATAAATTACTAATATTTTAATCATAAATCATTTTGTTGAACTTTTCCTCGAACTTGCCATTGATGATTGTTTCGATTTTTGTGACGATAATGAAGATGTTGCTGGATTTGATCCTGATGCTGCTGCTGAAAACGCAGCTGAAGCTGACGCAGAAGCTGATGCTGATGCTGAAGACGAAGCTGGAGCTGAAGACGGCGCTGGAGCTGATGCTGATCCTGAAGATGGATGAGCTGATGTGGCCAAATCTTGGCTTCCGGGTGAATATGATGAATGTTTGCTACTTGCATCTTTGCTTGAAAATCTACCAGGTTTACTGTTGGCATTTGATGCTTGAAGTGATGAGAGTTTTGATGAACTTTTTTTGCTAGCTGCTACAGATCCTCCTGACGCTGAATTATTTTTCGCTTCAGAATGCATACTTGAAGCCTGTTGACTACTTTGTGCAGAACCTTTTCGACTTCCTGAAGCAAAGGCTGGAGCCATTGTAGGCGATACAACTTGTGGACTGCAAGTTGATTCACGAGAATTACCAGAATTAGCTGAAGCATTCGACAAAGTATTGTCGTTATCATCAATGAATGTTATTTCATTGAATGATCGAATATAGACCAATTGATGTCGTTCTTCATCAGATAATGTATTCAAACGGGCTAAATCACGACGATGTGTCATGACAAGTATAGCATTCAAACCGGCTTCTTTAGCAGCATTACATTCGGGTACCGATTTGGTTAGAAACAAAACCTGATCGGGTGTCAAATTTATTTTCGAACAGACAATCTTATATGTTGCCGGATTATCCAAAGGACCAATAGTATTATCAAAGTGACCATCAATCAATAGGTTAAGATCACCATGATTTGTTTTAGCCATAAATCGTTTGGTTGCTTCAATCCAGCCATTGCTCAGCACATAAAGTTTGATATTCTGTGTAATACGCCAGTGTTTGATCTGAATAGCAACATCCGAATAAACTGGTGTTTCAATTTTATCCCGATGATAACCATCAAACCACATATGTAATCGGAAAACATTGATAGCCGCATTATCACGCAATTCATCCAAACATTTGGTCACATAAAGGAGAACGGTTTTTTGAATCTCTCTTTTATCACAATCAGCATCAACCACAACTGGTCCGCCATCTTCACGGGATTGTTTACGTAACAATTCAATATCACGTTGTAAAACTGGATTATCCCAATTATTATGTAGATATGTTGTGCAATTCAATTTTATATATGGAAACAGTATACTATCCATGAAATAAGATTTGGTTGCTGTACCAGATAAATCAAAAAATATGGCCTGTGGTCTTCGTACTTTGATCGGTCCCATCGTTGTCAATAGAGAAACACACGAGGATAGAACAAGTACACATACAAGCAAACAACACAAATAACACGAATAAAATTTAAATAAAATCATATTTATAAATCAAGCAAAGAATTCTAAATTAAATTGGAATTTCAAACAATTGTTTTTTTCAATAAACCCAGACTAGAACATGAATGAAAAACAATGAACAAACAAATTAAATGTAACAAGCCATAATTAAATTAATGAACAAATCAAATATTCTTGGATAAAATATGAATGATGAGATGACAACGGATATGAGTTTACTTGACCGATATTTCCTTCTTTTTAGAATTAGTGTTATCTTTTTTTCCTTCTTTTTCCAATTGTCGACCAAGATATTCCCAATTTTGTACCATCAATTTCTGCACGCACAGTAAAGCTTCGTATCGAACATTTGCATCTTCATGTGACAAAAGATGCATGACCAATTCTTTACCATGAAGATTTTCAATTACCCTTTGGATTATAATTGATTAATTAGTTATAATGAACGAATTGATATGGAAAAAATGATTTTTTTTAATACTTACACTTTACCTCTAGGATAGTGGCGAACATACTCGCCAATATCATGTGCAGCAACGGCCAAAACCATCGGTTCGTTAGATGCTTCTAATAATCGAATCAATATTTTTAATAATTCATAGTTTTTCTCGTTCAAACGAGCAGCATTTTCGCGCCAAAATTTTTCGGTAGTATGTACCGGAGACCATTCTAGTCGTCCTGAACGAACTTCGGTAGAATATTCATCAAACGATGATAAATCTTGAATTGATTCTTGAAGTTTTTGATACAAGAACTCTATATCATCTATGATATCAGGATCATCGAATTTTTGTCCAGACTGTTGAAGGATTTCCAAATGTTTAAGCACTTTACATTGAACTAATGTGATGGCATTTTCACGTGCAATTTCAGGCTCATCTTCGGAAGGTTTTTCAATCAGGTTCTGTTTAGATTGTAAAAAACAAGATTTTAGCTCTGAATAGAAAAAATAGTATAATTGAAAATTGAAAAAAAATTGACAATAAAAAATCAGACTCATTAAATCAGTTTTAGGTTTTGCTATCAAAATAATTTCAAGCAAATAAGTGATATGCATCATTTTGTCAATTTAGTTCAAAAAAAATTAAATGTTCTCAAAACATACACGGAATGTTGCCAATATCATTCGAATGACTTTTTCTTTTATCGATTCGGAAAGAATGTCGGCCAGTTTTGGAATAGCGTTGTATCGATTCATTTTCATTACTAAATGTTTATCGAATGTACAGACCCACACACAAAATATTAGCTGATATTGGATTTGGAAATTGCTACAATTGCCGAATGAATCAAAAATGGCAGTCAATCCGTTGAGATTGACGAATGTTTCACGATATTCATCAATGCGTAGCATCAATTGCAAACATCGGGCAATTGTTTGGATATAATCAGTGTTCTGTAGGACGAGAAAAATTTTCATTCAACACATAAAACCAATAAATGATATGATTTTACCGCTTTGATCCGTTCGATTAGCCAATTAAAATAAAGAGTTAGGTCACTCGATTCTAGTCGATTTTTGGCACTCCAACAAGCGCTTTTGGAAATCAAAAGAGAAGTCTAGTCAAAAGAGTTATAAATCACTGTACTATAAATGATTTAGTGAAACTGACCATATTCTGGATGAATTCATCCTCTCTCAATAGTAATGGGAAAAAATGTTTCCAAAGTGTTTCTTTATGTTTGGAACAATAAGTGTGAAAAATTTCGACGCGATTTCTATCCTCAAGAAACAATTCATCAATCAAGCATAATATATACTGGATTGTTTCATCTTTTGAAACGGTCGACAACATTGTCAAAAATGTTTCAGCCATTTCCATTGCATGTTGTTGCACGAATTCTGCACGATTATCAGCAGTCACTTTTTCATATAAGGTAATGAATTTAAAATCTCGATCGGAAATCATCTGAGAAGAATGATAGGATTGCCAGGAGATACATTTTTGACGAATATCGTTCGCTTTTTGATGTAACAACGATGTGGCAGCGACAGCAACTATGATAATATAAAAAATGGGAGTTTTTGTCAATCCAAACAGTTTATTTACCTTTGATGTCGCTTTCATTGGACATGACACGTTCCAAACGTGATGATACATCCGTCATGTTTTTTTACGTTTTATTTTTTTGATTCTGAAATAATTTAAGAAAATTATGGTCAATTTCTAACCTTGGACTTCAGGTTCGTAAAAATACGTCGAGTGAGCAGAAATATACTCAATTTTAGAAGGAAAGAGTGTGCGCGTGTTTAATAAATAGTCAATTGCCAAATTCATACATTGAAAATCGAAATACACGGAAATTGCAAAAAATGATTTTATTCATTCACAAAGGAAAAATGTGCCCCAAATTTTAGCAAAAAAATGATAATTTAAAAATTCGCATCAGATGAAACAAAACACAAAAAAACGGTTATTTGATATTCCACATTGTAAATATTGCATTCAAAACTGTATAGTAAATCGAAATCGGCAGGAAGACAAATTAGAATAGAAATTAATTTAATTTATCTGATGAATATGACAATGATGGTTGACGTTTAATCTGATTATGAGCATTTTCAAATGAAATTCCAATATGATGTCATTGTTTATTTATCCAAGGAGCGCTTATTTTGATCAAGATCAACTGCCCACGATGATGATGATGATGATGCAATCTTGTGGCAAATCCAATGCCATATCGATACTAGAAACGAATTTAATTTGGATTTTTTCAAACGTTTCTGTGCTTGCATCTTTTTTTGAATTGCTATGCGTTGAGATAATTTTAATGGTATCATTTTCTGGAACTTTGTTNTCGCTTTCATTGGACATGACACGTTCCAAACGTGATGATACATCCGTCATGTTTTTTACGTTCTATTTTTTTGATTCTGAAATAATTTAAGAAAATTGTGGTCAATTTCTAGCCTTGGACTTCAGGTTCGTAAAAATACGTCGAGTGAGCAGAAATATACTCAATTTTAGAAGGAAAGAGTGTGCGCGTGTTTAATAAATAGTCAATTGCCAAATTCATACATTGAAAATTGAAATACACGGAAATTGCAAAAATGATTTTATTGATTCAAATGAAAAATGTGCCCCAAATCTTAGCAAAAAAAATGATAATTTGAAAATTCGCATCAGATGAAACAAAACACAAAAAAGGGTTATTTGATATTCCACATTGTAAGTATTGCATTCAAAACTGTACAGTAAATCGAAATCGGTAGGAAGACAAATTAGAATATAAATAAATTTAATTTATCTGATGAATATGACAATGATCAATGATGGTTGACATTTAATCTGATTATGAACATTTTCAAATGAGATTCCAATATGATGTCATTGTTTATTTATCCAAGGAGGGCTTATTTTGATCAAGATCAACTGCCCACAATGATGATGATGATGATGATGATGCAATCTTGTGGCAAACCCAATGCCATATCGATACTAGAAACGAATTTAATTTGGATTTTTTCAAAGGTTTCTGTGCCTGCATCTTTTTTTGAATTGCTATGCGTTGAGATAATTTTAATGGTATCATTTTCTGGAACTTTGTTGCTAACGGTCACTTAAATGCAGATATATATCGACCCCTGTATGTGTACATAGGAACACTCGTAGGTGATTCATTGACATTGTCAAAAAATCACAATTCGTTTGAAAACAAATGAGAAAATTCAAATTTTATTAATGGTTTCAATTAAAAATGATCTATAAAAATAGAATTGAATCTGTATTTGAATTCGTCGACAAAATTCTACACGTGTTGCGATGAGTGGCTCAAGATGATTATCGTTAGAACTTGGTAACAAAATTCGAATGCTACGATAATATTTACTGAATTGATGACATAATTGATCGATAGCGGAGATTATTTTGCTAATAGAATTCATTGTAGACTGATAACGATGAAAGATTTCTACAATAAGAGTTTCGTTCAATGCTTGCAAACGAATCATGTAAATCCACATAATTGTCCATTCGAATTCGTTTGATAGAAGAGTGAAATTAACATTATTTTCCGCAATCTGTGAAAAATTTGAGCGAAATTTTTCTACGATGGATTGGATTCTTGCTAAATTATAATGAACAAATATTGATTGATTATATTTTGATCTGATTTGTTCAAGGTTGTTTAATTTTAATGTTTTATTAGAAGACGGAGAAAGTAGTGTCCATAATTCCATAGTCTTTATGATTGAATCTAAATTCTCTAAATCAATTTTATCATTAGTGATTAGTTTTTCATTTTAGTGATCACCTACCTTGAGAAACTTGGTCACTGTCAATAACTTCATTCTCCTTAAGCCAATGCTTAAATTGTTCATAAGATTGAATATGATTACAATAATCAATATCGAAAACAGTTCCTATTTTGATCACCTTTATTGTAAGATTGGGTAATTTTTCACTAAATAAACGTTGGCAACAATTCACATGGTAAGATTCATTTTCAAGAACCGTAATGATCACACAAACATTATCAATGATTTTGTTATCAATCTTTAAATATTCGAACAAATATGAATGTATTTGTTGAAAATATTTGCAAGATTCACTGAGACCAGTTTCATCTATTTCAAAAGATATAAGGAATTTATCGAATTCTCGTGATTGAACAATTTTTGCATTGGTCATCGAAGCGAAATTCTCGATGGTATAAACAAAAAGCTCTGATCTTCGTTGATTAAAATAATTTTTAGATTTTGGATTTAATTTGATCAGAACAATCTTATCAAAATAAGTATCAAATGACGATAAAAAACCATTACCACTATCAAATGTAGAATCATCTAACAATATAGAAAAAGTTGTTGGACGATCAAATTGAATGTCTAATGTATTCAACGAATGAGTTATAACTTTTATAGGCAATATGAAATCTTCGTGAATTTTAAACAATTCGATTTCCAAATTCGATAATAAAGGCCACCATGAACAAAGATGACGATTTCGAAAAGATAATCGAATGTCGAACGGTTGTTTCGGCGAAGTTCGCCATTCGCATTCGATCGTAAATTGTTTATTAGAGTCGATATTATTAATAAGTAAGGGAAATAAAGAAGTTCGGAAATGGCAAGGTGAAGCTATGATGCGATGATAACAAGCGAAACGATTCACCGACAATAAAAGTTGTTCGAGAAAAGTTTTAATTAAATGAAACATGATGATAAGAAGTTAGAGTAAAAAAAAGTCAAATGAATCACAAATTTAAAAAAAGAAAAATGGAAAAAATCACTCTTGAAGAACTGGTGGTAAATTGGAGTTATGTCCTTCACGATTACGAGCAATTTCAATTGCCAAGAATTGAGCACGTGGTACAACAATTGTATTTGCTTCGTTATAATCAGAATAAGAATTCAATCGCATCAATGTAGCGAAATTAAAATCCTCCATTTTGTCTTTCATGTTGATACAGAATTCTCGCCATTGTTCTTTGGCTTTTCATAATAAAAAATAACATTAAAATAAATTCAATCAGGTTTCAATGTCACTCACCTTCATTCGATTTTATCATTTCCTCTGTCAAGGATTCAACTTTCAAATCGGGAAATTGTTTTCGAAACTCTTCATAAATATAGTTATCGTTTGGAGTCAATCGAATCACATCGGAAGTTTTAATTGAAGTTATCAATTTATAATACGCTTCCATGTGACGAATAGCTGTTGACATCCAAGCAATTTCAATGTTAGGATCATTAACAAATTCTTCTGCCGGTCGACAAAGAATCTCGCCTATTGAAATTTCTGGTTTCTCTGACTCCTGATTTGATTGCGGTGATTCTTCGGACATTTCATTCGCTATTATCTGGCTTTGGTTCTGAGGATCATCCGACTTGGATTGAGACATTGTTGAACGAAATCAATGTAAGTTTGACCGAAAAATAAATAACACGTGGAAAAATTTACACAATGCGGAGTTTATACTGTTCAAGTAATATATTAATTTAAACATGAATTCTAATAATTATTATAAGGCTAAATATAAAATAAAATAAAAGGAAATAATTCACTTAGATTCAACGACAACAATTGAATTATCAGTAGAATCACTATCAGAAACATCAGTATCACTATTTAAATTTGGAACTTCTTTCTGGGCCAGATATGATTCAAGTTTTTGTGCTGAAGCAAGCAACAAACCCAGGTATGGAACTGATGGTTTTAATGGACGAGAAGTATATTCAGGATGAAATTGTACACCAACAAAATAAGGATGATCACGTAATTCCATGATTTCCATACGTTGCATGGTTGTGTCTTTCCCGACAAATATCATTCCAGCTTTTTCCAACTGATCAACCATATCGATATTTACTTCATACCGATGACGATGTCGTTCGAATACACGATTATTTTTTGGATTATAAAGTCGATAAAGAATAGAATCCTTATTAACAAAAATGGTTTCTCGTCGACCAACGCGCATAGTACCACCAAGATTTCCACCGTTATGTTCGGGCATTTCTATCACTACTTTTTCTTTAGCATCAGGATTTTGTTCTTGGGATTCCGCATCTTTAATTTCAAGCTCGTTACGACAAAATTCAACCACAGCACATTGAAACCCAAGGCAAACACCCAAAAATGGTTGTTTTTTCCGTCGTGCATGCTCGATGGCAAGAATTTTTCCCTCGATACCACGATCACCAAAACCTCCAGGCACTAATAATCCATCGGCTTTGCAAAGCTGTTGCCATGCTTCATAATACTCGGATGGGTTTTGCTGCTTGGTCGTTTCTTCTAATGATGATCCTTCGATATAAAAGATTTGTAACCGCCGATTGATGGCCAATGATGCATGATTTAAAGCTTTGACAACAGAAGCATAGGAATCTTCCAGTTTCGTATATTTGCCGACCAACGCTATCGATACCGTTTTCAAAAGACGATCATGACGTTCAGCAAGACGACGCCATTTATGCAAGAATTTTGTTGACGGATCCAGCTTTAGGGTTAATTTGAATTTTTTGCAAAAATAATCTATTAGACCCTGTTGGACCAATACTAAAGGCACTCGATAAATCGATGCTTGATCACTAAGACAAATGACTTGATCTGGATCGACATGACAATAATTAGAGATTTTTTCCTTTACCGATTCGTTAATTGGTTCTTCACTTCTGGCAACAATCTGAAACAAAAATAAGGATTAAATTGACAAAGAAAATAATAAGTGCACTCACCAGATCAGGAGACAAACCAAGGGCACGAAGTTCTTTCACAGACACTTGTGTTGGTTTTGTTTTGTGTTCGCCGGTCGATTTTGGTTTTGGGACTAAACTTACATGCACACAACAAAAGTTTTCCGGGCCCTTTTTTCTGGCAAATTGTCGAAAGGCTTCGACAAATGGCATTCCTTCAATATCGCCAATAGTTCCACCCAATTCAATAACACATATATCAGGCACTTGCCCCGAAGATTCATCAACCACATCATTATGACGATCATCACAAACAGCTAATGGCTCTGTTACGGGTAATTTCGCTACACGTTCAATCCATTCTTGAATTTCATTTGTAACATGTGGAATGATTTGCACAGTTTTACCCAGATAATCACCACGACGTTCTTTTTCAATTACATTCTGATAAATTTTTCCTGTCGTTATATTGTTATCACGATGAAGTTTTATGTCCAAGAATCGTTCATAATTGCCAAGATCTAAATCTACTTCGCCACCATCGTCTAAGACAAAAACTTCGCCATGTTCATATGGAGAAAATAGTGAAGCATCAATGTTGATATAGGGATCGATTTTGATGGCTGTCACAATAAATCCCATACTTTTTAACAATGTTCCAACTGAACTCGATACAACACCTTTGCCAATGCCGGAAATCACTCCTCCAGTTACTAGAATATACTTCATGATTCAGATAATTCGGTGATACGTTTAGAAAAGTTAAATTAATAAACAGAGAAATTCGAGCAACGTGCTATTTGGATTTAATCACGCGCGTTTTCTATCTTGGCCGTTTCAACAATTCATAGAACACGTATCGAATGTGAAAATATAAACACTGAACTTTATTTGAGATTTGTTTGGGTTTATATACGGTAGCCTATTTACACCCAGCAATCCATATATCTGCAATATTGAATCATGTGATTTTAAATTGATTTCGTGTTGATATAATTTTTGTTGATTTACGTTCAAAAATATCGAGTCGGAAACCAAAAATAATGTCTGTCGTAATCGAAACAACGATCGGTGATATAACAGTCGATCTTTATATTGAACAACGTCCGATGACATCGAAAAATTTTCTCAAACTCTGCCAAATGAAATATTATAACAATTGTGTATTTCACTTTATTCAACGTGATTTTATCGCACAAACAGGAGATCCTTCCGGCACCGGTATGGGTGGACAATCTGCTTATTCATTAGTTAGTGGTTCAGATGAAAAATCACGATTTATCGAAGCAGAAAAGAAGCCAAAGTTAAAACATGATCGTCTTGGTCTCATATCCATGGTAAATAACGGCGAAAATTTACATGGATCACAATTTTTTTTCACGCTTTGCGACTCACTCAATTATCTTGACAATGTTCATACGGTTTTTGGAGAAATCACCGAAGGTAATGATGTGCTGGTCAAATTAAATGATACAATCTGTGATGATAATCATCGACCCTACCAAGACATAATGATCACTCATACAGTCATCCTTGATGATCCTTTCCCTGATATTGCTGGCCTGAACATACCTTCAGAATCACCAAGAATCAACCTTGAAGAATTGATTGATTCTGATCGAATCGGAATCTGTGAAGAGGTAATGGAAGATGGTAAAACTAATGAACAAGTTGAAGAAGAATTAAAAGATAAAGAAGCAAAACAACGTGCTCTGGTTCTAGAAATGATTGGTGACATACCAGATGCCGATGTTAAACCACCTGAAAATGTTCTTTTTGTGTGTAAATTGAATCCAGTCACTAGGGAAGAAGATTTGGAGATAATATTTTCACGATTCGGAAAAATTGTAAGTTGTGAAATAATCAAAGATCAGAAAACGGATGAATCCTTACAGTACGGGTTCATTGAATTTGATCGTAAAGAAGATTGTGAAAAAGCTTATTTTAAAATGGATAATGTTCTGATCGATGATCGCCGAATTCATGTTGATTTTAGTCAATCTGTTTCCAAAATAAAATGGCAAGTATCAAATGACAATTTTTTTCCATTAAAGAAAAAAGGATTTAATTGTTTTTTTACAGGCGAGGAAAAGGTCGTGGTGTCACTTTTATAGACGATGACCACCAAAGTCAAAGTCGAAATCAGGCCAAGTCATTAGAGTATGTACAATCATTGTCATCTTCATCAAAAAGTAGAAATCATAGAAGTAGTCATCATCATTCTCAATCGCGTAATACGGAGCCGATAAAGGATAGACGAAATCAAAGGGATAATCAATTAGATTCAAGAAAACGCAGGCGAGAAGATAAAAATGATCGAAAACATTCATCAGACCAACATCGATACTATCGTGATGATGATGACAATTATCGTAAACGTTTTTCACGAGATGGTCATCATCATCATCATCATCGATCATAAGACATTCATCTCATAATGTGAATGGAAATAAACCTAACCTTGGATAGGAGAAGATTTTTTCATGATCTTTGAATTCCAAAATGAATTCATTCAAATACTTAATCATATTCTTGGCGAAAATTAATATAAATTTGTAAACTGAAAAGAATTGAACTGTTTTCTTTCCTTTATTTAAAGTCGAAATTCATTGTGTTTGAGGAATTTCGATCAGTTATGAAAATTCTAATAACTATCAACATCATTTTCATTGTCATTATTTATTATGTTAGGTATGTCATGAACAATGTGAACAATTGACATTCCAATGATGTTCATTTTTATTTTCAATAAAAAAAATATTAATAATGAATAAAGTTATGTGATTATTATTAAATATATTTTTCCCTTTCATTGGTTTGAAAATCTTATGGAATTCCATTTCTACCTTGTTTATTATTGATGAAATGAAAACTGTCTTGAATATTGATGATGATGATGATGATAATGATGGCGGTGAAAAAAATAATCCTTGATCATTGTGTCGATGGATATCAAACTGATCAAATCGATTTTCAATGTTATCAATATAGGGTTTTCGATTGAATTTTTTGCCATTGACTCAACGACAGAAACTATCAGCAATAATCCTCAAGGCAACAGATGAATGCGGATGATAGTTTCAGTAGTTCTTCCGATGAATCGTCTTTGATAGCCACCACACCTCCTCTACAACCACAATTTGTTTCCGTACAGCCATCATCATCATCATCAGTTAATCAAAAATCTAAAAAACGAAATCCAGGTTTAAATCCAACTTGTAATCACCGATTGGCTTCATTGTCTAAAGATGACGATGATAGTGATGAAGAAGACGATTTATTTCCATTAATCGATTCAAAACAAGAACAACAAACATTTCGTCTATCATTGAATAAAAATAAACGTAGTCGTCAAGAATTTTGGCTTGTCTGTAAGGCATATTTTGCCATAACATTCCTCATGACTGCATTAGTTGCACTATTTTTTTTATTTTTTAATCATTTAATTTTAAACTCCAATGGATCAACTTCCATTACCAATCAACAAAGGCCACAAGATGATGACAATAATTTGACAAAATCGAATTCATCGATATCAACTTATCAGATCAATTTGGATATCGATGATCATTTCCATCTATTCTGGTCGCCAGATTATTTGGACGAAACAATTTTATTTGAATTGAAACTTAAACTAAAAACCAATTATGATTGGTTCGCTTTTGGCTTTTCTGACCATGGATCCATTGCAAATGCTGATCTATGTTTGATCTGGACAGATAAACGTCGAAGATTGCATTTAGAGGTTAATTTCTGTGTTAATTGTGTATTAATCAATTGAGTAAGTTAAATTTTTTCCAAGTAGGATGCAAAAACTGATAATGATAGTATGGTGATTATCAAAAATCATCACGATCATCAATCAAATGATTGTCAATTCATCAAATCTAAACATGATCGCCAACAAAAAATGCTTTATGTAGCGTTCCGGAGATATTTCGATACATGTGATCCTGACGATTATCAAATCGATGTAAGAATTAAGATTTTTGCATTTTAGATTTATGATCATTTCAATGTCTCAATTTGAACCGAACAGAATGGCACCACTCATATGGTCTATGTTACTGGTCGTGGTCCATTATCTCGATCAGAAGGATTACATCTAATTGATTATCAACATGGATTTCAGCGAGCACAGCTATTGAAACCACCTCCTTTAAATTCGAAGTCGAAAACAAAAATTAGTGATGAACAACTTCAAACTTTAGATTTTTTAGTTGATAATGTTACTATTCCGAATGTTGAGACAACATATTGGTGTACGTTGATTAAATTACCCGAAACATTTAAACAACGAATTCATATCGTACAATATGAAGCCATCATAAATGAACAAAATAAAGATATTGTACATCACATGGAATTATTTCATTGTGAAGTTGATGCCAAAAAGAAACTGCCGCCATGGAATGGTCTTTGTCACGATTCAAACATGCCAGAATTATTAGAACAATGTAAACGAGTTACAGCTGCATGGGCTTATGGCGCTGGAGTGAGTATTGTTTTTTTATTTCATACATTTAAATTAAAAGGGAATCCTTGTGGATATTAATATATTCGAACTTAATTAGCCAATGATTTATCCGGAAAATGTTGGACTACCAGTTGGTGGAGAAAATTATTCCCTCTACGCAATGATCGAAGTACATTACAATAATCCAGAAATGAAAGCAGGATCTGTAGACAATTCAGGAATAAGAATCCATTATACTAAAAGATTACGACCAATCGAATCCGGCATATTAGAGATTGGTCTGGAATATATTGATAAGAATTCCATTCCGCCGAACACATTGATGGAATCACGAGGATATTGTGTATCGGAATGTACGAGGGTTGGTTTACCACCAAATGGTATCACTATTTTTGCATCCCAATTACACACTCATCTGACTGGTGTTGGTACTTGGACTGAACATGTTCGTGGTGGTATTCAGCTACCTGATCTTAATCGTGACAACCACTATAGTCCACATTTCCAAGAGATACGAAAACTTCCTAATGGTGGCGTACACGTTTATCCGGGTGATGCATTGATAAATGTTTGTCGTTATGATACACGAAAACGTACACGTATGACTTTTGGTGGTTATGGTATTTCTGACGAGATGTGTGTCAATTACTTACATTATTATCCACGTAGCAATCTAGAAGTTTGTAAAAGTTCGATCGATACCGATCATCTGATGAAATATTTTGAAACAATGCGAATAAATGAAAATCAAAATACATCAATACATTATTCTGTTGCAGATAATTTTAATAATATTCATTGGACACCTTATCGTATACAAAAATTGAATCAACTTTACCAGACGGCACCACTATCTGTTCAATGTAATCAATCATCAGGACAAAGATTTCCGGTAGGTAATTGCTTATAATGGTAAAATTTAAAAAATAATAGTAATAATATGATGTCTTTATTTATAAATGAAAATAATATCAAACTTATACAGGCACACGCATAGTTGAATACAGAGAAGAAAAAATCTAGAGACAAGTCTTTGAAAAAAAATTCCGGAAACATATTTCCGCCATTAAAAAGGATGAATGAATGAGATAATAATAATAATAATAATAATAAGTTTACTGAAAGTATTCTCAGAAATACATGGTCATAATAATAATTGGACTTCTGAGTTTTCAATGATTTTTTTTGTGTGTGTGTGTTTCTTAACAAGATTCAACAAAAAAAAAAAGTTGCCTTCACCCGAATTTAATTCCAACAAAAACACACACACAAAAAAATCCTAGATCCAATTTACAACCGTAAAAAAAAGATTCGATCAAGAAGGGTAATAAACTTGAATCCGGTATTCGGTCATTGCATCGTTTACTATGAAATGAAAACTACATTTGAAAAACATGCATACATTCTTTTATATCTTTCCAATATCAGAATTGTTTGAATTGAGACATTTTTATTACACACATTCAACCACTTGGATAATATCATTCGATATTTTTTTTACTCGATTATTCTATACGAACATGACGCAATTGAAATTATTATTATTATTATTATTATTATTTGAATGTCAGTATCAAAAGGGTTTGACTATTATTATTATTATTATTATTATTGAGGATCCTAGAAACCCGATTGAATTAATTTCGATGATGAACAGAAAAACTGACAAGTTTAGTTATCGTATATATGTGTGTGTGTGTGTCTAATCATCTCATAATTTAATTCCTTGTTTCAATTTCATATTAATGTTGTTAAGGACATCCAACATAATTCGAATAAACTATTGTTAGAATTTAACTCATTCTATTCACATCCATACTAATCAATTGATTTTGTCATTTTGTTTCAATTTATATTATCATCATCATCAACATCGTATGATTTATGTTTTGGATGGGGGCTGATATTATTTGTAAATGTAATTGATTTTGAATCTCAAAAACAAAAAATCTAGGGTTATTGGAATGGAATCCCGTTGACCACGGTGATACAGAAACCAATAGATCAGGCGAAGAATGCGACCAATAATCGTTGCCGTTGGGTATTGAAAAAATTTCATCCTATTAATGGTGATGATGAAAATGATTTTGACGACGATGATGACGAAAGATTCATGGATAATGATGATGATAGCGAATATGATGATAATGACGCCATGAACACTATCTGGTATCGTCGAAGACAACATCAACGTAGGCTGCAACGTAAATGGAAGCAATTGCCATCGAAATTGAAACGATCAGATTTCAATGATCATTCACAAATGATTGTATGATCATTGATGATTATAATTTAAATGATATCAGATATTCATTCTAAAAACATTTGATATGTTCAATAAACAACAAAATTCCATCAAATTCGATTATCATTATATGAAAAAAAATGTTACATGCGAACACGATATATATTGTTTTAAATTTTATTCATACATTCTATAAGATTCAAAGCATCGATCTATTAATTAATTACTATCAATTAGAAAGACAGAATTTTTATTTTACCATTATTGTTATAATTATCACTATAATGTTGTTGTTGTTGTTGTTGTAGATGATGTTAATCGATTTTGATTAAAATTTGAACAAATAAAATTGATTAAATCGAGTTTTTTTTTTGTATGTATTAAGATGAAATTCAAGAATTTTCATCAGTTGAATGATGATCAAGTGAATATACATTGAAATACCATTTTCATTCGTTATCCTTTTAATGAACGAAGGTTTATAATTTAAAAATTTTGTCAGTTAACTTGAAGAATCGGTCGATTTGTGTTAATTTATAACGGTTTTTTTTAACTCAAACTCAATTATACTATCTGAATTTTTTTTTCTTTGATCATTATAATAACATGATGTTTTATAGACTCGTGTAAATCCTTAGGTTGAAAATATTAAATTACAATCAATACATTCCATATTATAATTGACATGCAGTCGTTGATCAAACCTATATTCACTTCATTTACATTATATGAGAAACGACCAAATTTTCCGCTGAAATCACACACGATAAAAAAGTTGAATTTAATTTGAATTTAAATTTTTTTTTTTTTGCTTATTATTTTTTTCACATCGATCATAGCATGAATATAAAATAGTATAGGACTTTTTTCAATGGTTATTGATAAAAAAAACTCTATCTCAAAAAAAAATTCTCCCAAATAATTGTGCCGGATTCCTTCTTTTCCTGTTATCAATTTTTTTTTCTTCAAATGTATGATTATTATCATATAACCAAACGCAAACGTATTGTGATGTCATTATATTCCAAATTTTTGCCTGTTTTTTTTCTCATTTATGCACTGCACATTCGTTTTTTTTCTCTCTCTCTCCTCGATCATCATATTCCAATTAATAATCTTTTTATTATTATCATCATCATTATTGTTGATTTTTATTATTTGCGGTATTATCATTATACGATGATGATGATGATGATATATAATGGGAATTCAAGATATCAGTCTAACATCACGAATTCAATCGATGTTCATTTAATGTGTTCACTAAGATGTCGAGAAAAAAACTGAATTCTTTCATAAACATATGATCGGTTTTGATATTCGATCAAGTTTTTTTTGTCTATTTTTTTGACTTCCCCTTTCAAATTGATATATTGACTTGGTGACGAAAATTTATAACAATGGTTTTTATGTATGATCACTCATATCTTTCCAAGTGATAGGAGTAGTTTTTGTTAAATAGTTAAATAGTTTGATAGTGATGATGGTGTCGAATTGAATTTATAATGAAAACGATAATAGCATTGTCCATTGTTGATTTGTCCAAGTATACATAATTTTCTGTTATAAGAATTTCATTATTGACAATTTTTTTTTTCGTTTTTTTTCCTATTTTACTATCGGAGTCGATCCATCCATTTAGCTTCATCTATCTTTTTATCTTTTGGCAAGCACTACTGATGATTGTTGATATACCCATAATAATAACGTGCTTATTTTTTTTCAGCAATGTTCCTCGGTTAAATTTGGTTGGTCTTTTTTTCCGCTTTCATTCTTATTTCATTTTTTTTTTGTCCTCTTGGCTCTTGAAAGAATTGTAAATTGAAGATATTACAACCGGCAGATAGATCATTAGTTTTCTTTTTTCATCATTTTTTTCAAAAGTTGACTATTGGAATACATTTACAACACACACACAACATAATGGAATGATATTCGAGAGTTTTTATTTTCAATAAAGGAAGATAATAATAATTTAAATTATTATGCGAATAAATGCCAGGAATTTGAAAATATTATTATTATTTTTTTACAAGTATGTTGGCATTTAATAAAATTGATGTCATCATGTTAAAAGGCAAGAAAATTCTCGGACGATTTTTTTTCACACTGTTCTATTCTTATTGCTGATTTTTTTTCTTATTCTTGTTTTGTTTGTCATCTTCACTAACATCGTCAATGAATTTGAAATTGCTTACGTTATGTTGGGTTATGGTTATTGGTCGTTTACTTGATAATAAGTGAAAATTTTTTCTTCCCATTCTTATATGAACAATACCATAAGATAAGAAATGGGGGGCAAAAATGTAAAAGCAAAGTATTGATATGACAGATCGTTTTCTAATGATGCGTTCGATCTTATATGTGTGTCTATAGTAGCTATAGTATATTCTTAAATATACTCAAACCATGAACAATTGATAATGCCATGGTCCAGACATAATATAGCATTTTGAATCAGATTTTTGAGTACAAACTAATATTGATTTGTTGAAAAGAAAATGTCCAAAATAATTTTTTCATTATTAAATGAAATATGGTTGATATACTCGCACAAACAATGACGACAAGTCACATTCATACAATCCTACACACACTCATACTATCCATATCTATACTAATAAATTACAATTCGATCTTGATATAAATCCAGAAAAGAATAGAAAACAGTGGCGACAACAACCGTCAACATTTCAAAAGTCAATGGAATTTATGAAAAAAAAACTAAACCTTCTCTTCCCAATATCAGAAGCGAAAAAATTTTTCAACATCAAATTCAGTGATAGAAAAAAGATAATGAAATTTAGCTCGATCATATTGGGTATTCTTTATAGTTTTATTTTCATTTTTTACACACTTTGCATTCAAGATAAAAGAATCGTATATGGTGTGTTTGTGAATACTTTCTATTGAACTCTATTGTCTGTCCTCTTCAACTAAGGTTCGAGCATTCTCTCTCTCTCTTGTAGAACCAAACCATATCTTTCTTGAATACATTTAGATTATGGAATTTTAATCATATCATTCAAAAAAAAAAAATTCTCTGTCATTCGTCGAAGAACCATACACAATCAGTCATGGAGAAACTTTGGATTTTGATGCTATTCTTTTTTTTATTTTTCATCTTTTTTTTTGATTGTATTGCCAGTTTTTTTCCATCATACAGCTTAACTTTAGTATTCAATATCTTTTAATGACCGATAAAAGAAGTGTGGATAGAGAAAGGAAAAAATGTTTCACCCCTCAATTCATCGATGATATGATGTCATCGTTTCGAGCTGCTGCTGCTGCTGGTTGTTTATTTGGTCGATATGGATGATTCTTTCTATTTTGAACATTCATTGTTTGATATAGTTGACATAATCGAATAACAATAGTGAATGTATTTATTTTTTTCTGTATAATGATAGACAACAATGCTCAAGAGATTAATCATTCTATAGTCGTTCATTACAGTTTCGAACTTTGACTCTTTTCATTGTCATTGTCTTTTTGGCCATCTTTTCTCTTCTTTATAATCTATTATATAATAATAATAATAATTCAATTAAGATCTAATTATCTAGTCTATTGGATATGATCTATTTTTTTCTGATTATCAATCGTTGTGATGACAAGCAGCATGTTGATTGATCATCAATAAATAAACACAAGATAATTCAAAGAATGGAAAAAGAGAAAATCTTAAATAAAATGAATTCAAAAACAACAACAAACTCTTGCTCATAATTAATTTTGTTTTTTTTCTGCTTTTATGCTAATTAATAATGATACCATCCGAAATTCTGGCTGATTGAGTCGAGAAAATAAGCTTTTTTTCAACAACAAAAAAATCATTTATCAATTTATGAATAGAATTATTCAAGCATTGAATGATCAAAGATTATGTCTATCACATTATTTGATCAATTGAAATATTATATTTTTTATATATCAGATAGAAAACGAAAAATTTCTTTTATGTTTAACACTTTTCTTGTTGAAAAATACGAGGATAAAAAAATGATCGAAACTTTTTTATTATTATTATCATAATCATTATTTAATATGCTTTATTTTTTATTAATAATGAGATGAAAAAATGAAAATTTTTATTTTAAATAAATGGCATGCTATATTTCATTAGATAATTATAATTATAATTTTAAAAAAATAAAGGTTAATTATTATCCACACAATCTAATGTAATCTTTGATTTGATAATGATCAGTTTTTATTCGGATGCAATAATCAATCCAAATCATTGATGTCCACACACAGTTCTTGCACATATGTTTATTATATTTCTTCATTTTTTTTCTTGCTTTTCATCATTCGATTTGGATTTGGAAATGGATTAGGTGTTAATAAATTGGTTATGATTTGGGATTGATTGATTGAAAAGAAAAGGCATTTTGATATATCTAGTAAAATAATTGCTGCGATTGGTTTGCGTGCATGTTCATTATTTATCACTCAGTATAAGTGTGTGTGCTTATGATTGGTTAAATTAATAAAATTAATGAAAATTAATGATTGATTGCAAAGAATAAAATTATTATCTATTTTTTACATATTTTATTACTGCTTCATTTGATGAGATTGTCATCATTCCCTATAATAATGAAATGTGGGTAGTATATGTATTTTTTTTAAATTGATTATGATGTTAATGATTGTTTATTAATCTGTTATAGATGCAAAAAAAAAGTAACAGCCATTCATACAAATAACAATTTTGAACAGCACCGCCCACCGAAAAACAGCAATCAATAAACTAGACACATTTTATTTTGGTAAAATAATGCGAGAAACAAGAAACAAGAATTGCGTTTGGACAATCAATGTTTAGATTTTTTTCCCTTCTCAGTTATTGTTGTTGATGTCTTGGTTGTTTGCAAATCCATTTGAATCCGGAATCCATTATGAAAATCTATTGGAAATATTGAAAAAAATAAAAGAAAAAAACCTGTAGAAGAAAAAAAAATCATCTGAATCAATACACTAAATACATTGATTGAAAATATTAGAGGATTTCTATGAAAATACCAAATGATTATCAAGATTAGGCACATATCTGCAAATTTCCGATACCATTTTTGTATATTATATACTAATGATATTTGAAATTTCAGATGAATAAATCCAAAAGGTAAATTTTACATTGATTATTTATGATAACAAATAGCATTATTATCAGTTTACGATATTGAAAAAACAATCAATTTGACCATCATCATTATTAATCAATTCATAACGTTCAAACAAAAAAAATGACTTTTATGTGTGCCTCTAGATTGTAGAGATTTTTTCAATATAATACTGGAAATTTATTCCGCAAAAAATTGGCTTATAATCAATATAATCAATATTGTCCATATAAATACGATCGATTCTCGTATATTACACATTATTAAACTTGATAACTTAGATACATAAACGCTTTAGCTTTTTATACAAGCTTTTTATGTGTTTTTTTTTTGTAATGGAATTTATTATTGATTGAAATGATTGTCTAAACATATCATTCTTCATGATAATGATGATGATGATGAAAAGTACAAAAAGAAACAAATTGAATAAGATTAATTTAAATGGCGAATGATGAATTTCATTCATATGGATTTTTTTTCAGAAAACATCTACTATTTTTGATATACAAAAAAAAAGTTTTTAATTTCAAAACTATTTTTTTCAAATAAACCGTTTCATCAATAAATTGGCTGCATGTTTGAAAGGATTTGGTGATGGTTGTTTAATTAGTTCGTTTACGATTTTTTTACCGGGTTATCAAGAGACAAATTTCAAAAAAAAATTGAAAATGTATGCATGAAACTTTTCTCTATTTTTTTTTTGTTTACCAATGAAATCATTTCTAGAATTTTGCTGTTGAAAACTTGAATTTCTTTTTTTTTGTTATTCTTTTCATAAAGATTTGTCAGATTTTCATTGTGAGTAAAATAGTGATAACTATAAAACGTGACATCTTTAATAATATTTGTTGTTGTTTTTTTGTTAAACTATTTTTTGGATGTTTTAAACAATAATCGCAATCATCATTATTCTCATAAATAAATAATTTAATAAATAAAATTCAACGGGTCAAAGTTCGTCGACTTAAACATGACGATCTGAAATCTTTTCTCTGGAGTATTTTTGTTTTTTATTGAAAAATTATTAAAGATAAATGAATGACAACTTGGTTATCCAAACAACAACAACCGAAAATCCAAAATCAGCCATAAAAATAACAACAACGATTACATATTGTAAAAACTATATGTGTGTTTGGCTTTCCAAAATTGGCATCCTGCTGTTGTTGATTTTGTTTGGTAACATTTTTTCCCCTTTATATTTTTGAATCAAAGAATGAAACAAAAAAAATGGTATAAAAAAATAAATATAAAACGATACCAAAGGGAAAAAAAAGAGTACACGGAACTGTTTGTTTTTTATTTTTGTTGATTTTTTTCTGCCTGCTTTTTTTGGTGGTAATCTATAGAAAGTCAATGCTTTCGAATGGAACAACAATCTGTCTTGGATCCTTTTTGTTTTTGGTTTGTGCCTTGCATCTATGATATTACTAAATAGAATATTTTCAACTCTTGAAATTGAATTTCGAATAGAATTGAATGATTGCCACCATTATTATTGTATAAGGCCTAATAATGATAATGATAATAATTCAACAATAAACAACAACGTAAACATTACTTTTTCATCATCATCATCATAATAAGCGTAACAATAATTGAAGAGAGAAAAAATTCTGTATCCATTCTAAGGGGTTTTTTTGCTACAATACAAACACACACAAACACTATGAGAAAGAAAAAAAGAAGTTTGTTGGTTCTGTGTATTTTTTTTTCTTATCACACCGAAACCATATGGCGCGTGTATTGCGCCCTGAAACCAGGATCATTCATCTAACCAAACTATGGGCTGGATGCCTGAATGATCCGCATAGTATCTGTATCGTTTTTTTTTTCTACATGTTTCACATTCTCAATACTTCACACGGCCTGTTGGTCTCGATTGAAAAAAATCGGCTATCTATCTATCTAGCTAGTTGGTTCTGTTTTTTTGCCAGCGTGTATCAATTTCAACCAGACAGTCGCATCGTTGAAGATGACTATTTGTTTGGTTATAAAAAATGATAATGATGCGAATAGAGTTTTCGTTTTTGGCGCTTTCTGTTGATTTTTATTTTTGAGGTTTGAATTTGGAATTTTTTTTGTGTTTTTGTTTCACAATTATAAATAGTCTGCAATAGTCATGCACTTGGTTATGATAATTTGAAAAAGAAAAAGAAAAAACAAAAACATTTAATCACATTTTTTTATTATGAAATTATTAATGTCGCAAGACTTTAGTTTCGCTAGAATAAATAATGAATGCATTAAATTTGTACAGTGGACATCTGCATGATGATGTTCAGTCAAGAAATGGACTTTTCAAGTTATTTTGCAATAAATAAGCTTATAAAAATCAATTTTACTTACCGAATAAATTTTCGTAGATTATTTGTCGATGATTGAACAAATTTTATTTGCAATCAATCATTCATTCATCGATTATTTTTATATGGTTCACCTTGTTGATACCATTATTAACTCAAAAATTCCAAATCGCCTTTTTTTAATTTCTCAATATTACTGAATAAACAATATGAATTTTGCTTAATAATGTAGGAACAATTTTTTAAAATTGTTTGCATGTGGAATCTAAAAGTCTGAAAAAAAAACTTTAAATACCTACCAAAATTGATTCATGATAACCTTATTGATTGGTGACTGTAAAGCGACTGTTAAGTACATCGACAAAACAGTCAAAATTTATGGCAATCGAGGATCCCGTATTTTTTTTGCCTCATCTCATCATTTTAGATTGTAATGAGAGGGTAGTCTAGGTTCTCATTTTTCGCAGATAATGATAATGATAATAGTTAATGCATATGGTATGTGGTCAACTACACCACACACACAATCTAGGATGCATATATTTCTGAAAGAGGATGTAGGATTCATAAAGATTCAATATGGGAATCGTATTCCATTCCACACACACACACACACACATGCACTATTCTTCGCGACGTGTATACGATGCTGATGATGATGATTGTACATTTGTTGCTACTGGTGCTAAATAATATATACCATTCTATAGGTGCCGGTGTAATACTATACTGCATTCATGTTTATCGCTTTTAATAATGCTGATGAAAATTCTTTAGCTCTACGGTTTTGGCTACTGCTGCCTCAAAATTTTCACTTTTTTTCAATTCACTGTTTAAAAAAATAACACGGGCCAACCCGCCATACATCAGAATATTTGTGTGTTTTCTGTATTTCTATTTTTTTTTCTTTCAATAACCAACCATTAAATTGCGTCGTCTCAATCAATGAAAAAAAATGAATGAATGGTTTTGAATTGAAAAATTCTTTGAGTAAACGTGAGATGACTGAAATTCATCTATCTATCCATTAGATTGAAGGGATTTAAAAGACTAGACTGGTAATGACTGGTCGTGTTATTTGTCGATTTATTTGCTTGCTTGTTTATGTGTGTATTCCAGATGGAACAAATCATTGGTCGGTTATTTGTGATAATCGGATGGAAAAACTGAAAATCATTCAACCATTTAAAAAGTAAACCAATAGGAAAATGAAATAGTAAATTTAAAGATTAATCAGAAATACGGTAAAATAGGATAGAATCGTAAATTGTAGTTGTAATCAATCGAATGAAATTGAAATGAATTTTGATTTTATTATTATCTATCATGATGTTTATACGTTTTTTTTTCATCGTTCATGTAATTTACACGCAATCGTATAGCAGAAATACTAAAACAGTATTTTACAAACATTTATTCTTATGTTTAATGTGTCTGTCAATGGCTGTAATATGGGTTCATCACATTTCGGTCAATTGAATCTATCAATCACAGATTGTTGTACTAATACAAATTAACGATTGAAATAAACTGACAAGACAAGAGTTGTATGTTCAGATTCGGTTTCCAAAAAAAAATTTGTTTTTTTTTCTTAACCATCGTTGAATTCAAAAATTAATCAATTTATTTCGTTCGGATCTGGATTTGATTTCCTTTTTGATCGCTTCAGTTTCCATTTGTAATGATGACACTCTATTTCGCTGTCGTTGGATGGAAGATTCACATTCATTTTTCATTAATACAGCATTCTGATCAGCATTCGATTGAATGGAAACATAATGACGATTATGTCGTTGCTGCATTTTGTCCAGTTCAATTTTTGCTCGTTGTAAATCCTGTTCAGATTTTAATGATGCAATATTGAGGCTCCGTTGATCCAGATCTTTATATGATCGATCTTTGGTTGATGGACGTTTGTTTTCTGTAGAAACGGATTGATTTAACCGATTATTCAAGAATTCAAACATTGATTTAGCTCGTCCTTGCTGTTCTTCGACACGATTATATCCATCAGAAAGTTTGGCTTCGAATTTTAATTTTTTATTTTTTTCCCTAAGTATTTCTCGCCAATCCTGTTTTTTCCTTTCATGTTCTTGTTTAAGCTTGATACAGTGATCTAGTGATCGACCAGGTGGATAGATGATCTGCTCGATTGGATCAACAATCCCTTGTGATTTTAGACCTAGTCCACGACCTTGTTCATAGCCCATTTTAGCCATCAATTTAGATCCGATACCTTTGGTAAATCTTTCCCAAGAACCAAATTCTCCACGGGTTAAATCTGGAATCTGAGTGTTCATAGATTGGTCAGATGCATCTGTTGCAACTTCTTCATGAGAATTTTCAGATTCCACATTTTGCAACAAAACTAAGTTCTCAAAATGAATCAATTTCTCACTTTTATCCTTATTAATTCGAACTAGAATTTGCTCTTTTTCAAGATCTAAAGTACAGATTTCTGCATTTTGCCATAAGTTTCCTTCATGGTCTTGGACAAGGCAATTTTTTAATTGACCAAATTTCATCAAGTCAATATCTTTATCGCTAAATAAGTTGATTGCAAACTTTGGTCGAACTTGATTGATTGAAGCTATGGGAAAGCCATGTGAGTATTTACAATTATCCTGAAATCGGCAGCTATTCCGAAGATAGAATGGACAAGTTTGCATGGATTTTTCAACTGGATAAAGAAAAAATGCCTAAAAATAATCTTAAGGAAATTGACTTTAAACCAACAAAATTCTCAGAATCTTACCTTTAATCGAACTTTATGTTCATCGGTATTTTCATCATCTTCAGTGATTACTAAGGCATCATGATATTCGATTTTTCCATTTTGAAATCGATATGGTACAGAACATTCAAATTGGCTTTGCGAATCATCATCATTTTCAGTATTAGGCTCATCACTTTTGGTTAATGATGCTTTTTCTTTCTCAATTTTTTCATCATCGTCTTCGATATCTAAATCTTTCAGTAGTTGACGTTTTTCAATCTTGAGTAATTCATCTTTGTGGAAAAAACAATAAGTTTTTTACAAATGTCATATTTTTTACTAAAATTACCTTCCAGTAATCGGCAGAGCTCTTCCAAATTTGATTTAAGCGTATTTAGTTCATCATTATCATCTAGTTGTTGCTCTTTGATTGTTTCAAGCTAGAAAAGATGTTTTACTAAGGATTTTCAATTTTTTTCTCACTTACTTGAGCACGATATTCTTGTAATTCTTGCCGTATGGCTGATTCATTATCGTCCACATCATGAACCTGATCGGACATTCTTAAGAATATCCAATATCATGAATCACGATTGATATGAAAAGACTAAGAGTGTTGGTAAAACATCAAAGAAACAAATGTCTCATTGATGGCAGTGTCCTGACACAAACGAGCACATGCGTGTGCGTATATTTGAGTTAATATAGAGAGATCCACAACGAATAGAATAAATCCTCAAAATTGACGACAGCTGTTAAACGCTACATTTTTTGGATTTGTTTCGACGACCACGACGACTATGACGATGATGACAAGGTAGTAGCAGACGTATGTTTGTATATTATGTGGTGAGCTCATTAAAGAATCATAATGATTATCTAAAGTCATCTGCAAAATAAATGTCCAAATTTTTATGAAGAACAACATCAAAATATTCATATTAGGTGACAACTCTTGATTCTTGTTTGTTTTTATTTTGATTTTCCTTGTATCGATCCAATGATTTGATTGAATTTTTTTTACTTGTTTATCTTTAATAATTTTACGATGTAAGTATTTCAATTTATTCATTGTCAGTATCTCGTATAATTTTTTATGCAAATAATTTTAATAGATTTCAATGATGAATCATTTTGATCATACATTACCTACGGATCATCGTCACAACCATCAAGTTCAATTGGTTGTCGGTAATGACCCCAATGTTACTGCTAATGCCGGCATCATGGATGTAAATAATCAACAACAACCCATTCATCTTATGGTTAATCTTTCAAATGGAAACAATTCAACTGCAACGACTGTTCCATTCGATAATCATCATCAACAGCAGCCCAATTATCATCATCCAGATTCGAACACTGCCTCGAATGAAACAATCGATTCGACCACGACGGCTTCCTATGCATATTATACTTATGATTCTTGTGGTCAATTAACACCTGCCACTGGCGTCGGTACTTCTGCAACGGCAACACCATTTCAAGTTTCCTGGAATAAAGTTGAATTGATTCAACAACCATCACAGATGACGACACAACAGTCTGATTGGTATCATAATCAACAACAACAATCTCGAATGTTGACTTCGAATGAACAATCGCAGCAAACTGCAATTCTGGTTCCAGGATCTACAATGCCTGGAAATGTAACGACAAATTTTGTCACCACAGCTGCAAATTTCAATCAACAGCAGCAGCAACAGTTTGTTGATACGGATCATACAAATATACAACCCATCCAGATTTCTCTTGTTCCCACACAGTCTTCCGTCCAAACACATCTCCAACCTACTCAAACGTCAAAAGCTATAACGAAAAAAACTCAAAAACGAACTACAAATTCAAAACAATCGGGTAAAGGTGAAGGACGACAATCCAAACCTGTATCGGCATATGCCCTATTTTTTCGTGATACACAAGCATCGATTAAAACGGAAAATCCATCTGCCTCATTCGGAGAAATATCCAAAATTGTCGCTTCCAAGTGGGAGATATTAGCCAAAGAAGATAAAATCGTATACAAAGAACGGGCAGACATGGAGAAAAAAAACTATTTACAAAATCTGGCCTCAAACAAAGCTAAAGAAATTGCCCAGACCAATCATTCAACTCCGCCACTGCAGCAAACTTCGACTGAATCATCAATACATTTGGCTACCATTCCACCATCTATATCGAATCAACAACAAATTACAAATTCAGATGACTTAACAGCGTTTGAATCGGTTGATACTGAACCATCAATGGACATGTTGGTCGCTGCAGATGAAATGCTTACTGAATCTTCAATACCCGTTGATGCTTACCATCAAACAGCATACAGTAATTATTCTCATCAACAGCAACCTCAGACAACAATGAATCAAGCGAATACGTATCATCACCATCATCATTCTGCCTTGAATAATCCATCGACTTCTAATGTTATAGATTCATTTCCACATGCTGAGCTTCATCATCATCCGCATTTGCATCAACACTCATCTCAGCAACATATGCATCATTTCATCCATAGTAATGATACACAACTTGATAATAAAACTCATCATTCTACACGGCCATCATCGTCAACATTTCCTTTCGCCGATGATGATGATCAATCGGCTGTTTCATTTTTTGTGAATTCTTCCGATGCCGAACAGAATCTAATAGATTTAGGTATCGATCTCAATGATTTCGATGATATCAACCTGTTGAATGATGAAAATATTTATTCACCAACTAATTCATCGACAACGAATTCATTGTTTGATACGGTCAATCCGGTCGTAGGTGTTGATCCGTTCCTTAGTTCATTGGAGCAAACAACATCAGATCATCATCATCATCATCATCACCATCATCAACAACCGCAATCATCAGCTACAAATGATCCTATTCTAACATCCACATATGCATCTGATTCGATATTACAAGATTCGTATCCACAAGAAATGATTTATGAACCCAATGGCCGCACACCTGACATTGATCAACAATATGAAAATAGTAATAATAATTTTTTGCCCGATTCATCATCATCGGCAGTGGATCATGATCCTCAAAATGAACTTGATTCATCTGTTATTGAATCAGATACAACACTGATGAATGGTGATAATAATAATTTAGGAGATCATCAACACCACAATGAACAATCTTCTATATGTGCAAGAGATGGTTGTCAACGGACAACCATCGATTCAAATCAATGGGATCGGGAATTTTGTTCCGAAGAATGTTGTGTCCGTTATTGTTCTGATGTTTTTCGTAATTGGACCACGCGAAAACAACAGCAAATGTCAACCGATATGTCACAACATGTATTAACATCATCTGCATCGTCAGCTTAACGTTGCCATTATTTATCCTATCATTTTTTCCCTTTTTATTCGCATTAACATTGCAAAAACATGTTCAAACTTTGCAATATATTCATTGCTAATATATATATTTTTTGTATCAAAAACAGAAAATTTAATAACAAATTAAACATTGCAGTAAAATAGTTTGATGGAAAATTTACAAAAATTGAATTACTGCTATAAGGTTTGTTCAGAATCGATGAATCAATGAAAAACACTTGGTACAACTTCACGAAAATCACAAACTATACAAAGATGAATTTGATTGTGATGATAGATTTTTAACCGATTCTAATTGTTCGAAATGTTTACGGGAATTCCGAATGTTGTACAATGTGGTTGCAGAAGCTGAACAATGAACATTAATGGATTAATGAGAAAATTCTTTCAAAAAAAAACCAAAAACTTACGAATCGATGCATCTGACAATATGACCATGACATATGTATTGGCAGTAAAACTTTCTATGAAGGCAGCAAATTGTGAATTACGAACTTCCATATTTTGAAATTGAGCAGCCAATTTCGTACAGCTCAATTTGAATTGCTTGATAATGTTTGATACTTTTTCGAAACGCTATCATATTAATAATTTTAATTCAATTACATAATGAATGATATTTATAAGGATGACTTACGTGAATATCTTTATGTTTACGGCGTTCAGAATAACAAATGACAAGAAACGTTGCACGTTCAAATAATAGCACTTCATCCGCATCAATCATATCGGCAAAATTATTTAAATGTCTTTCCAAATCATCTACGTTAGGTATTAACGAATGAACAATATTTGACCATGCTTTATAAAGAGTTTCATCCCAGATTGATGTACGAAAACATGTACATTCCAATGGTTTCGATAAACGTTTTAGATCGCTTTCCCGGTCTTCGAAAATCTTTGAAATTAATTGAATAGATTAATCATCATTTCAGGAATAAAGTTTATTTTTTTAAAAAATCTTTTAACTTACGCAATCACGCTGTTCTTCAGATATCAAATCCATTTTATGTATAAGACAGAAAACTTTAGTTAAATTTTTCTTATCATTGGAATATTCCATGATGCCTTCGAGACAGCTCTGATAATAACGTATATCTTTATCCAATTCTCTTGATTCAACATCAAACACGTAGATCAATACGGCAACATTACGGAAAATATTTTCCCTTTGTGATGCAAAATAATTTTCCATGAATGCCTCTTGTCCGCCACAATCCCAAAGATTCAATACTAGATTACCCAAAAATCGAACATGTGAATGTTCGACATCGACTACAACAATGATATTAATTAGTAAATGAAAAACTGAATCAAATTGTCAAAACACTTACTTGTCGCTCCTAAACGTCTTGTATCACGAGCAATATAATTAGCAAATATAATCGAACGCATACTAGTTTTGCCCGAACCACTTTTTCCCATCAACAATACCTTTTTTTTCATTGTTTCCGCTTTTCAAGTAGATTTCAGAACAATAATAGTGAGAAAAATGTATTATTCAATGGAATGTATTGAAGAGCCAAAAAATTCACTGTCAATGGGAGTTATTGGTCACAAAACATTGAAAATCAATTGATTAATTGTTTGTGTATGGGTAGTAAATAATTTTGGAGATAATTTTTTTTGTTTAGAATACGATTTTAAAATTACAGCCAAAATATGATATAAAAATCAAGCATTTTTTCTGGTACAGCCAAAATATGTTTGTATATAAAGATGTAAACAAAATTGTTAGTTTGAAGATCTTGTGATCAAAAATGCCTTTTATAAATTATCAATGAGGATTGTATTGTGCGTTTGTCGTTGCTGATAATGTTTTGATTATTAGTGGCGCCATCCTTCGAAAATAATCACATACTATTTATAAAAATCAATTGCGCGCGCTTGTTTTCGATTCAATTATTTCAAATTCTAATAACATTTGAATAATTTTGGACATAATTAGCGCAAGGAATATAAAAATCAAACCAATGCTGAATTAAGTAATTATTTTTGATAATAGTTTTTTTCTTTATATTTAGTGTTTGTATTGAAAACAAAGACAATTTCTTTATCGTGTCGATTTTTATCAGTGTTTGTTAAACAACATCATCATCAAATATAAAATGTTATTTGTATCGAACAAAATGATGAAAGTAATGGGTATCGAACGTAAACGCATTGGTTTGTTCACATGTTTTATGATCATTTTGATGTCATCGACTTACGGTCAATTGGTAATGATTCTCAAATCATTTTAATATAATTTGAATAATTTTTTTCGATATTATTTTTTTTGCCACAAATTAAGCCAACAATGGAAATCAAAATTACACCGGAATCGCAAGCTATCACAGAAGCAAATTATACAGTAACAAAGCCCCCACCACCACCATTAGAAGGTGCGAATGTTACGAAATCAGTACATACCTTAAAACCTCATCCAACATCGCATAATCATTCATCGCATAATCATACAGATCATACTGATGATGCAAAAATTCGTCGTGCTGGAATAATCATTTCGGCCGTTGTAATTGCTATATCAATGGCTACAATAGTATTAGCTGCATTCTATTGGCTTTATTTTGATAAACAAGAGGATGATCAACAATCAATTAGTAGTCACCGAACTGCTGATAGAAATGATCTAAATCGAGAGATTAAAAATGCTGCAATTAAAAGTTTACAACAAAATAAGGCACCACAATTACCCGGTACGACAACTGAGCGAGAAAAGAGTAGATCAACATCTTCATCTGCATCATCGAAAAAACAACAGCCCAACGAATCGTCAGCATCCTCATCGAAAAAACGAAAGCAAACTGAACAATCGTCATCAAAATCATCAAAGAAGCCAGTGGAAGAAAAAAATGTGAACATTGAACCTCCGGCCCCGATTGAATCGAAAGACAATCAACCAGAAAAATCAAATTCAGCATTCCCCTCAAAACAGAAACTACCGAACGTGGAACCATCAAATACTCAATCACAGATGCCATTTTCAGTGTTATCGGCACCATCTGTAACATCGAAAAATGATGAATGAAAAAAAATGACTTTGAAATGATGACAGTTTCCAGGTGATAAGCGAAAATTGTATGAGAAGCCTGTGTATGTGTGTGTGAATGTGTGAAAAAGACATCTTCATCTTGAAACTAGATAAGAATTATTTTGCAAAAAAAATTTGTTTATTTGAAAAAAATTTATAAAAAAAAATTCTCGATTATTGTTTCTAGCCACTTCTTTTGAATGGAATCGAAATCATTCAGTTTGATTTGAACTTTAATCTTTTTTTCTCATTATAATTACAATTCTGTCATTTCGATCATCTTTTTGTTCTTGTCATATGTGATTCAATTCTTTGATCTCATCAATTTTTTCCATCACATTATTGTCCAAACTAATAATAGATTTTTTTCATTTTATAACAAATGTTGTTCATACTGGGAATTTAACAAAAAAAATTAAAATCGGTTATCATGAGTAGCGAAAATGAACAATTATATTTGAGTATGAGTGACTTGTACTTGTAATAATTGTAACCGACACCAGGATACAATTTTTTAATTACTTCCAAATCATCATATTGATAATCGTGTTCATCCCTATTCAATTCGGTACCACAATTTGACTTGTATCAATGGCGGTGATTGTCCGTTGTATCCAATTTGATAAAAATTATTGTTGTAGTGGCTATTTTTTGACCATTTTTTAACCACTTCTCAATATTAAAATGAAGATGATATTCCTATTTTCATTCCAATAGAATGTTCGTGCAATGAATTATTATGGGAATGGATGATTTTGTTTTATCTTGACAAGAACAAAACAGAACAAAAAAAAATCATGTGCACTTTGATATCAGGAAAAACTGACAGAATAATATAGAATGGTCGAACGCCATAGAATCCATCAGGCATAGCCAAACAACCATAATGAGTCTGATATCATCATCATTATTATTATTTGTTATGCATAATGTTTTGAAATTTCGGTCAGTCTGTCGGTCGATCTTGCTGAAGATCAGTTTTTTCGAAAATTCAAGTCAATCAAATGAATGAATATGAAACGAATTCCGGGTCAACTGAATGAAACATTTTTTCATTGAAATTTCCGCGTTTGTATGAAAAATTTTCATCAAGGTCTTTTTTAAAAAAACAAAAGGTTTTTATGTAAATGAGTATTATCTCTATTTTGGCGATGTGCACAGATTATTTTGCTTTAAAAGTTGTGAAAAAAATTATTATTATTATTATCATTCAAATTTTTCAAACTTTTTATTTTGGTTCAGTTTTCGACCAGAATAGAATATAATATTCAGTGAATAATATGACGACTTTCAATGATTCGAACATTATATAAACATTCGAATCGTTAACAATTTTACTAATTATGATTCAACCATGATGAAAAAATCATCTTCATCATTATCACCAACACCAGCACATTCCATCCACATGGCTACAAAATCCGATACAAATAATCAACAGAATATATTTGAAAATTTAATATTTGAAAAATTCTGTTCCTGTTTAGAGCTATGGAAAGGCTGTGTTCTGGCTGGAATATTTACAATGGTATGATATAATTAATTTTTTCTCGACCTTTGTTGATTGATAAAATTTTTAATTAAAATTTGTTCATTTCGAATCAATCATATCGTAAGAGCACAAGTGTTTTTGATCTACTTTGGAGCATAGCACATATGATTGATGAGGATACAGTTATATTTTTCTATTTACGTAAGTTTCAGCATCAATAATTAATTGATCATGATTTTTTTTTTGAGATTCACAAAATTCCATAAATTTTCCACCTAGATTAATTTATATCTAATTCTTTTCATGTTTATTTTTGTTTAGTATTTTGTCTGGGCATTGAAAGTGTCATTTTTATTGCTGCCATTGGAATTTTATTTATAGCATTAATCAAGGTGAAATAAAAATAAAAATAAAATGATTACATTATACTATTTATTAATCAATTTGAATCAACAGAGATCTAGATGTTTACTATTACCATGGTTAATCATGACATTTGTTGATGTATTTTTTAGCTTATTGATTGCGTTCGCCGAATTAGCCCTACCGGTAAGGTTATCCTATATTATTTTCTTCATAAAATTTTTTATTCTTTTGTTTGTTTTTTTCCTGCCATTTTTCTGACAGAGTAATTTCAATACAAGTGGATGTACTGTTCCAGCCATTTCGATGGTAGTCACATTACTTGTTTGTTTTATAACGGTATGTTTTAATTATTTGTTTGACTGTGGTGTGATTCTTTTTTTCAAATTATCTTTTTTTCTTATATAATAGATCTATTGTTGGCTATGTGTTTATGGACAATATCTTCATTATTCTAAAAACACTGTCAATATATCGGAAATTAAAGTTAGCCCTATCGATGATTTTGGTCGACCAAGTAGTTCACATGCGATACGACCATCTTCATCTCAACAACAGCAACAACAACTTATGGGTCATGAATTAAATCCAGGAACAACGACTGATTTATCGGCACAAAAATATCTTAATGAAAATAATCTCAATATTAATAATAATCAACAACAACAAACGGATACGTTAAAAGTACCACAAATTTCAACACCCAGAGATGCTTGGTAACCTCGAAAAGCAAAAATTTGAATTTTTTTTTCGCAACGATTTTTTGTAAAGCACTTTTTTCCAAAGTTCCTTTTTGACTTAGTAAAATAATAATGGCATTAATATTTTTTTCAAATTGTTATTCAAAAAAAAAACTTCGATTTCAACAAATCAATTATGAGTAATCCAAATCGAAGTTTTTTTTTTGTTGGTGTTCGAACAATTCTTGTGCATTCGAATGTTAAGAAAATTCGATTCTAATTCAAAAGATGGCGATACAACAAAAAATGCCGCGCCTTTTAAGTTACATCAATAACCTTTGCTACATTTTTTTCCATTCAAACAACATTAATCCATTTGATGAGAGTTGGATCGAATCATTGGAATGCCTCTAACAGGCCTTTAACATTTTCAAAAACAACAACAAAAAAAAAATACAAATCAATACAAAAAGTAGCCCATTTTGTCATTAATCCAATAAATTTTCTTTGCTACTTCCAAAAATGGCTATACACAGGATAAAACTATGTTCCATTATGTTCCCTTGTTTCTTGCTTCTACTTTTCATCATATTTTTTTCCCTCAACAAAAATGTCCATACACCTGAAGAAGATCCTAAAGTTTCTTCCCCTGGACGATATAAATATATTGAAATGAAATTCCACCACTACAACCATGATCATAAATGATCAACGCCATCATGGAACTTTATTAATTCCACTACTTTTCTCATTTTTATCATTCATAATACTCTCGTTCTCTCAGATCTCCCTTTTTTTGTTGTCGTTGTTGTTGTTAATGCTGATACTTTATTTACATTCATCAAATGAAATGTATCCAAAATATATCTGTTTCTATGATTCATAGCTCCCTGCTGTACGTGTTTATATGTTTCTGGTTTGACGTAGTATCCCTTACATTTTTTTTTAAATTCAACATTATAGACAAACCCTCATTATTATGGATCTTGTTCAATAGTGGGGGAAAAAATTACCAAGAAAAAAAATGAATTAACGAATGTTTGTTTGTTTCACTCACATGGAATATTTTTTACGTTTGTTATTGATATTTATATCAAAACAAAAAAAAATCTGAAAAGAATTCATTGTTTTTCATTGTGAATTATTAATTATATGTCATTTTTTTTCAATTGACTAATCAACGCTTTACTGTAATTGATTATTAGAAAAAAATTTATCATCAATTCTTTTTTTTTTTTTTTTTTTTTTTTTAAAATTTTTTTTTTTATTTTTTTTTTTTTCCTTTTTTTTTTTTTCCAATCCCATGCTTTTTTTTT